AACTTTCACCAAAAAAAAATGAAAGATAATTTTTCATTTATGTTTTGTCTAAGGTAACTATCATTTCCCCAAAGGTACATGCAGATATATCAGCCGGCACCAACAAAAATTGCCGCAACTAATCTTGAAACATCCAAACGCCACACTTTACTGATTTTTAAATCACAAAAATCAAGTTTGCTTTAACAATTATGATGTAAATTCACAGAAATTGATTTGTGGTTTGTAAGTAAAGTAAAATGGATAACTGAATTTTGTGTTGATATACGGAATACATACTGTACGTTTAGAAATTTTACAGGTGGTAGCGCAATTAGTCTCTCAATAATGAAATTCGTGTTCGGTCGTCGGCACAGGGATTTGGCATAAAGTCCCAACCCACAGTCCATGTATATATGAATTATATATACATAGAGAATACATTGTCAGTGTCTTAAAATATAAGCTGTATATTGGCGAGGGTTAAGAAAAACATAAGTGGCGAGCCTCTGACGTATGAATTCTCGAAACCGAAGCAATGTGTACATATAAAATAATTTGATGTATTTCTGAATGTCTGACCATATTTATCAGACATTTTACATACATATTTGTATTTTAACGAATTTATACCAACGACCCATTTTCAGGGAGTAACAGAGAAGCAATTGACCACATTCCAACACTTTTCTCATTTAAACTCTTACGATGTTTTAGCAGAGACTGTCCTTGGAAATTGGGAAAGATTTTTCCTCGTCAGTTTTGATTGTAATGTTTCTATCCTGTTCCCCGCAAAGTTTGGGTATTAATTTGAAATTACAGACACTTGTTAACGACCCATCTCGTCGCGCGAATTGGAAAGGCTGGTTGCCGTGCTTTCTGTGGTTTATGTAAGGTTGGAAAATTTAAGAAGGGGCTACATGTTCTTATCCATTCCTAAAAAGAACGATCCTTATTTTCAACACGCTGTACACTTGCTCAGTCTAGAATTCCAGGCTGTCGTACACATGTAAAGGAGTAATAAGAGAGAAGGTCTACATTTTACTTCACATTCAGACCACATAAACAATTTCTGTGGATATTCAGTTTTGATATATCATAGTTGTGATTCAGAGACATTAAAATGGGGCGTTTTGGTGTTCCAGAATTAGCAGCCGCGTTTTTTCTCTGTACCAGTACCAGCTTGCAAAGCTACAAGTGGCGATAATTTAATATATTTATGTGCATACCTCAGAAATACACGTGCAAAGCATCGACTAAATACAGCAGCATTGAACTTGGTAAATATTGGGTTAATCAGTCCCCCTGTCCTCGTGTATTCTCCATGTCTTTACTTCACCTGGTACCTATAACCGGTTTCGTTCCTATATAGTAATGAAGGACTTTTAATATTGTCGAAGAAAATTGGTATCTATGGTAACTTCATTAGATTCATAACTTAACAGGTAACAAAATCCATCTACATTGTAATGGTAAACAACTATAGATCGAGAGTGGTATACCACAAGGTGGTGTTATCTCCTTTACTTTGTTGAACATATTCAAGAATATTCACAGAAATTGGCTAATGTTGCCCAGTTTGCAGATGGTACTATTTTTCCTTTTTATACCAAGAGAGAAACCAATGAGTAGACAGAAACTTGAGGACCATACTTTCCCCTTAATTCACTAATTGAGCTAAAAAAAAAACAGTTTATAGGAATAAGATAAAACAACACTAATTCTACGATCATCAGGTTGTAAATTTATCAAAAGAATTCATGTTAAACACTATTAAAATTGGTCAAAGTTCCAAAATCCAACAGCTGCTTGGCTTTTACGTAAACCTGAAAGAAATTAGGAAATTCTTTAGTCTTTCTACCAAAAGTTCAATTCGATAGGTGCCAAAGCAATGTCCAAAAAGCAAGCATAGATGATAGGTATAACAGTTTTGTTAAATACTATAAAGACGATTTTAATAATATCCAACTACAAAATGATGTAGGTCTGGGAGTCCAATGGGTTGATAGCTGTAGACTTAGCGTTACGGTTCATCGGTCGAACCAAATTAAACAGGGTGGCTACTTTATCAGATACACGTAGTCTTACGGTTTTACAGTGTAATAAATGAATCTATAGACAGGAACTAGCACGAGATCTGTCACTCTAAGGTCAATATCGTGCTACCTACAATTACCAAAACGAAATCATGTTTATTGATAAACACAATAGAACAAAATTGGAAAAATTGGGAAATTCAAACAATATGAGACATTTTTCATAAATATACAAAAATTATGTGGTTACAGTAAATAAGCTGACATTTTTTTCAAAACCAAATTGAAATCGAACGTCAATATTTTGTTGAAACGTGTCTCCAAACTGTGAGTCCTGTAATAACGAGGAAACGATCGATAAAGCGATAAGGTAATTTGTTCCGTTTCAAATCGCTGGAGCAGAACTCGATTAGCAATTAAATTTCTTCTGCATCGGAAAGAAAAAACAAAACAAAAACAAAACTATATAAACCATCCCAGAGGTATGCTCGCACAATCAGACAGATACCTAGACAATCATGCAAATTAAGTTGCACTGTCCGCTGGAGCAGAACTCGATTAGCAATTAAATTTCTTCTGCATCGGAAAGAAAAAACAAAAACAAAAAACAAAAAAAAAAAAAAAAACAAAAACAAAACTATATAAACCATCCCAGAGGTATGCTCGCACAATCAGACAGATACCTAGACAATCATGCAAATTAAGTTGCACTGTCCGCTGGAGCAGAACTCGATTAGCAATTAAATGGCAACAAAATATCTACCATATCTACAAATCGCATATTCTTACAAGATATACATATCATAATTTATCTTCTCCAGATGAACAGGTCATTGCTCACAACATCATACTTAAATGTTTGGAAAAAGTAGAGATGAAAAATGATAGTTTTATGATAAAATAAGCAATACACATAAACACGATATAGTATAGTCAATGGTATCAGGTATTGGAAACTCAGGCCCAGTAACATCTTGCATTCTCAAGCTTACTTCACATTCAAAGTATTCGGAAATATGCCGTGCTTGAGATGTCGGGAACATACCACAAATGTGAAAATCGGTATATATTGTGCATGTTTTAGTATTAAGGTCAAATATATTGTTTCTGCATTTCTCGAAACATGTCCCCATTTTATAAGGTAGGTAAACTGCCAATATATAGTTAATGCAAACCATGATATTTCTTTTTTTGAGAACCTCAACGTTTTTATACGTGGAGGGGACCGCAGAGCCCGTGTGTTCGAGAGGTTCGATCCCCACTTGGGCAAATTGTTTCTGTTAAAGCTGAAATCACGGACCGTCTACTGATGACCCGGTTTTAGATAGCATGCGAAGATCTTCTACATACGGGCATGTGGCATTGCTTTCTTGGGACCTGTGTATTAGATAGTAATAAGTAACATCATTATGTATTTTAGAAACATACAGGTATACTAGGAGACCTGACCTCAAAATGAGCATGGCTGTTCACAGGATGATAAACGCCGGAAAGAAACCAACAAACATTCTTGACCTCGAATATTGAGTGAGTGTTTATGGTGATATTAAAACCTGACAGATAACAAGCATGGAATTAGTAATTTTCTCAATTTGATATACAGCTGAACTCCGTAAAAAGCGAGGCTTATATCTGTCAGAATTTAGTGAACAATCTATATTATCCTATCTACCAACACGAGTCTGATTTATTATGAAATATAATCAACGGGAGTTTCAACGGTCGCATAACAGGACTAAATGATTGGCTTTTCTTCTCCACCTTTATAAATAGATTGATAAATAAACCCTTTAATTTCCCACCTTTATGCTACAGCGGGTCTAATTATGACAGCAGCTGCGTCGTCGCCAAAACTTTGTACAAGACATGGGGTCTCCATTGACACATCACGATCTGTGAGTGTGTCAGTTCATTATCTAACTCTAACATCACAAAGGTTATTTTCATTTCAGTAATAATTACCATAACTCTAGTATGCAAATACAGTACCTACACATGTACACAAAAATATAGCACGTGCATATTCATGAAATATATGTTATCAGTTTGATGATGATGATGATGATGATGATGCAAGTAGGAAAGTGTAAAGGCGTGAGTTTCACTTAACAGACAAGTCTCGAGGTATACATATATTTGGTTTCAGTATTAGTTTCACCAGGGACGTATAATACATACCTTGTTTCACGTATGTTATGAGTCACTATTACTTCTCCTTTCACTTTGATATGTGGTTGTATAAGTCAAATTAAAAAAGAAATGAATCAGAGCATTTTATTTTCAGATTGAGATGTGAAGGGAAAAAAAGAGTTTTCAAAATCCAAAATTTTATACATTTATAGAATGATGCAGTACTTCGATTTTGCATTGCAGAAACTAATGCGTGACTTTCAGCTAGAAAAAACGAGAAAATATGTTGGATTCATTCGACTGTGAAAACAAAGTCTATGATTAAACAAGGATTTTCTTCTCCGATTTAATGAGTCTATGTCACCATCCGTGTTCATATACACTGAATATGTGTATATGTCAGAGACATCTCTGGTAGTATGTATAAACACGAATTGTGTCTGCAGTGTTGTTGAAAGTATATATAGAAAATGTTTGTAGATCATGAGATCAATCTCCAACATGTTTTCTTATGCTGTTTTATATGTTTACGAAAGACTTCGTGCTCCCGGTGGTCCTAGATTTCAAGTGATTTAAATTGTAACACCGACAGATTCAGGCCAAAGCAGCCGATTTTCTGTGCCCTTTTCACAGCAACTTTAAAAAGTGTGGAAGGGGCATAACTCTCACAGAATAATATAATTTTTGATTTGAAGTTAAATTATCAAATCATCATTTATCATGATATTATGGTGTGTAAAGGATATGTTTGTATGTTAACTTTATTGAATGTATATCGAGGCACGTAACGTGAAAACGACACCGTGTATAAGGACCGGAAGTAAATAAAAACCTGCGCACAATTACAAATCAAAAATGGCGGACGGAGAACGGGATCAGATGTTGGTGGATTTTCAGGTAAATATATAAGGGATATACCCATCATCGTTGAGAAAATCTTAAGAATTTTAAGTATTGGGCAGTTGTTTTAGAGTTACCGCATTGAATAACGTGTCTCTGTTTCTGTCAAACCATAATATACACATTTTCTTCGTCAAACCCCTTGTGTTTACAAATGTCAAAATCGCATGTCATGATTTTCGATTTAGATATTACGCAAGATGTGGTGGGGAAACGACGCCTTTTACTCAAAATCGTTTTAATCTTTTGATTACAAATTCTTGTAAATTAGTTTTGATTTACTTCCTGGTTAGTGTTCCGTTTTGTTGTCTTTCTTACATAATTGTAGGATACATTATAGGAACTTCTCGAACCTTTCTACTGAGAACATGACATGTGGCCATAGCAAATAAAGACGAAAGATAGCATGTCGTAGAATTGAGCTCATGAGCTATTAGGAAAGACCAGTTTTCAGTTGTATAAATGACTTGCCTATAATAAGTACCTGGATTCTTATATCTTCATTCATGATACACTGTTTTTGAATAGATTATTTATTCATTGTTACAAGATGGCAAGGTAAGGTACCAACACGATAGAAGTACTTGGTTAGGTGTCTGTCAGTAGTTAGGATTGGAGGCCCCAAGTTTAAATTCACCTGGTCCGTGGTTTCTCTCCAGTTTCTACACAATGATTTGATGACTTTCCCAAAATGATCTTTTCACAAAACATGATATAACATGTAGACTGTGCACTTTAAAAAAGAGGATAAACATGGTCTGTTGATTTACAACTGTTTGACACAGGAACAAGTGTGTATAGCACAGCAAGACTAAATGGAAACTGTTGAAGGAAATGCTCGATATTGATTGCAAATTTTGAGTTTTGGGTTTTAATCAGTGTGGATAAATTTCTTTTTTGTTTCCTGTTAGGTATTGGCTTTTGAGAAACTTCATTATGATATTAAAAATTATCTTCATTTTTTTTCAATAACAGGCCTGCACACAAATAGATGATCTGGAAACATGCATAGCCATTTTGGAGCAGAACAACTGGGAATTGGTGGTAAGATTTTGGTATTTATAAAAGATTGGCCAAGAGCTATTGACAATGATATCAGTTTCCATCAACAGATAACACAATCTGATGTCAAAATACAATTTGTGCTTGATCACAAAGTAAATTGGGCAAAGAAATCACTGAGTAGTGTCATGCAAATTGACAAATCTGTAAGAAGAAAGAGTAATGAAAAATATCCTGGCCTCTGTGGATGTGGGGCTAAGAATAGATAGAGATTGCTCAATCTTGAGCCTTTTGCAAAATATATACTGTTTGGATACTACCTGTTGTAGAGAATCTGATGCAGATGAGTTTTGGTTGTTTGCTTTTAAAATTTATTAAAGGAATTGTGAACTTTTGAAAATTACCACACATACTGACTATTTAGCAGACAGAACGTACAGTGTAATACTGACCTTTTCACTACTGCTAAATCACGTTTGCCTTTTTCCGATATACAGAAATCTATACAAAGCGTGATGCCACAAACGGACTGTGAGATGTCATCTGCGGGAGGAGAGCCTCCTCCCTACACCTTTCCCAACCATACGGACCAATCTGCCGTGTCTCCGGAATTCCCTTCAGAATTTCTACCCAGTCATAATTCATTCTCTCCACTAATGGATCCTGGATCTGCCTCTGGTCCCTACCCTGGACCCAGCTCCAGTTATAGTTCTGGAAGACTTCTCAACTTCACTGTGGAATACCGTGGGCGTAATGTCACCGTTAATGTGTTCGATACAGAGACTGTGGGTAAGTGTTATAAAAAGGTAATGATTGATTAACATACCATTGAAGACTGATATTTACTTGTAAGTAGCTGTGCGATCTATAGCCATACTTTCGATCAGATGCTACTTCTATAAAAAGACCCAACAACATTTACCTCTGTGGAAAGGATATAAAATGTGTTTTGAAATTAGCTCATGAAGTAGTTGATGCTGTTATTTATAAATACAAGAAACATAAAAGCCTTATAAGATGTCATGTTTTATATGAAAACTTGGAACTTATTCATGCAGATGTTATTATGCTTCTTTTCTGTTTTGAAGAAAAATGATATCTTCAACACTTTTTGATTTATCTCTCTTTATCCATACTTTCATAGTTTCTTACACAGATATTTTGCGATAAGATCTTAACACTATGTCATATGTAAAAAGATGTTTAAGTATTTTCGATTATTTTATGGAAGATATCAGTGTTGCATAGGTGATCATACATATTATTCGAAAACCTGAAGTTTGTATTTAGTTTCATTTTCAGTTGGCCTACCACCATGGACTTTCTATCAATAAATAAGACCATGGTGGGCTATTTTACCTCTGAGATCAAGTTTTTACATGATTAATCAAATAGATGTGTAAAATACTTTTCGCTTTTGAAAATTATATGATAACAATGAATTGATTGAAAAATTAATGAAAATTTCAATACAAAACAACACTGACAAGTCTAAAGGTAGCTCTTTATGTTAAAGTTTGGTGGTAAACATTGTTTGTTAGCATGGACGAGAAAACAATCAAGGCTAGAAAGGTGACCATGAGCGCCCTCGTCTTTTATATATAATATCAATAGTATTCATCAATTTAAAACATACTCTTTGTATTTTAGACCTGATAATGTGCAGTGCTCAAACAAGCTATCGTCTGACAAAATGTTATTTGTCACTATTGTGTGAGGTATCTTTTACAAAAATGGAAAATTCACCAAATTTTTATAAATTTTTACATCCACAATTTACATTTAAGTATTGATATTGGAAAAAAATTGCTTTGCAGAAATCAAACTTTGTATATATTCTTTTGTAGGGAAGATCAAAGAGGTATTATTTTCAGAGCTTGGGATCCCTGTGAACAAGCAAGACCTGAGGGGTTGGTCTTCTAAGAAAGTTGATGACAAGGTCAGTAACATACAAGCATTATTTTTGTTGGTATCCATCCGTCTCAAATTTGCACATACAGGTGAAACTCTTTGTCACAAAATAGCTGTAATCCAAATTGTCAGAGTCGAAATAATGTTCAAGTCCCAAGTTTTTTCCTTCTATATCTTTGTAGCTTTAGTTCTGATGACTCAAATTTCACGGAGTCTAAATTTCGGTTGAGTCGAAGGGATTTTTCAGTACCTTCAATTGTAAAACAAAGGGAAAGTCATTGGTTATCTCAAAATTATTTTTGTTAAAACATTGGCACATCTTCCGAAGAAATCGGTCAATACATACACAGAGTAGAGTCACCGCTGTGTAACACATGTTTAATTATGGCAAAAAGGTCCTTTGTACACCCAACATTTGGTCTCTGATGATAATTACCAGTTTAATTATGCAATTAAAGGCTGGCTTACCTGTACATTAAAATAGTATTTTACACAGAACATGAAAACATTTAGCTTGGATAGATTACAATGAAACCGTCAAACCAGTGTCTGATCCCCACATTTCCGAGAAAAAATAATTTGTGTGCTTGTTTACTAAAGGACTGTGATTAAGCTTTTTGTCAGATTTAGTGTTTCGACAGTAAAGTGCTGAAAGTATTTTTCATTGATAGAGTCTCTATCTGCATGTGATTTGTTATGTCAAGTGCTTGTATAATGTTTTCTGTAATAGGTAAAATCTTCCTTATAGTGCATTTTTCATATGTTTATTTATTCATAATAAAGTCATATTGATATGATTTGTAGCTTTGTACTTCATTCCTTGTAGCATATCAAAAGCAAATGATAATTCTGTTTTATTGTCATTCCATAAAATATATGAAATACAATTACTTTGTCAGTAAGGGTATTGTACTCATGTCCGAGACAGAACGATGTGAGTAAGAATTGAATTTGATTGGAGGTGTTATTACATGTATTGTTGTTTGGATGAATAACAACAAAAGGAGAAAATAGAAATAAATTCATTTGTTTATTTATTGCCATTTCAAATAACAGATTACACTACTCTGTTTGCCCTACTTTGTTCAACCATAATCAACGTCAGGAAACTGATATTGTCAACCTTATGTATACACTTCCTTTCATTCGAAATTCAGATAAGTCGAAATATTTTCCATGGTCCCTTGAATTTTGAGATAATAAGTTTCGACTGTATTTGATTTCAGTATTAGTTTCAAATGTGATAAGGGTCACTATCACTTCTCTTTCTCTTTGATACATGGATGAGCAAGTCATCATTTAAGAAATAAATATAAATATTAATCAGAACAAATGAAATAACAATGCAGTATTTCGATTTTACATTGCAGAAATTATTGCGTGACCTTCAACTACCACGAGAAAATACATTGTATCTGTTGACCCCTGACCTCAACAAACCCTTTTCTATGTCATCCAGAATCACACCAGATTCTGACAGGTAAGTGTTTCAGTCCTCACATTATTCCTTCATAAATCTTCACTTGTATTAATAACTTCTACTTGGTAAAATTGGTATAAACCAATTGTGAGTTAAGTACTCTTTCACATTTCGAGATTAAAACATTTCTTAGTGTTAATCACTGCAAGTAAAGAAAGAGATGAGAAAGAATGTTTATGATAAAGGTAAATGTAGATTTGTTTAGTAAAAATGATTTCCCTTAAATTTCTTGTGAGGGAGAAATTGAAAAAAATAGTAGAATTAACTCAAAAGAAAGTAGATTTACAGTCATCTCATCTCGATTGATGGAATTAAGGTTCACACAATAATGCTAGAAATTAAGGTTTATCAAGTTATTCATTGTTTAAAGGAAATATTTTATATACCTTATTCCAGTTCCAAAGAATTTGAGAATTTCATGCGAGACTACACTCTACACATAACGTTTCGGGAAAACAGTAGAGCCAAAGAATATAACTTGAAAGTTCAGGGCAGTAAGACAGTGGGGGAGGTAAGTGTACTCAACTCTCATGACAAAGACTGCAATTATGTAGAACTGTGTATTTTGTGACAGTCCTCATTTCCACAATATTATTTGACACACAAGTACTAATTTCTTAGTCGTGGAAAAAATGATTCCATCAGAAAATTTTCAGCCAAATTTTGATGAATGTGAACAAGAAACACTGTTCAGCATGTATGAGTTTACACTCATTGTCCAAAAGCAGAAATCAAATCGCTGGTAGGCAAAATTTCTGAAAATCTAAAGCAGAATTTGTTATGTCGTTTTATAGAACATCCAATCCGCTATAAAATTCATCATTACCATATTATGCACACCAGGAGATATATTGTAAACTGTTATTTCGAGATCTTGTCCAATGTGATAGTCTTGTTTCTGGCTCGTCTGCATCAAAAGTTGAGAAAGCTCTGTTGCTCAAAAAGTATAAGGCCAGCTTTTACAAAACTTTGTATGGTTAGATGGCACAGTGAACACTTTAACTTATTTACATTGAGCTTTTGTTTCTCCTAAAGTACTAGTGTGATAGAAATAAAACCTGGAATACTGTAGTAGGGACAGCTGAATCCATTGAATAAGCACTGGTACCATGAATTTTATTTTTTTTTTTTTTTATTTTTAGGATAAAAACCAAGAAGGTTTTGAGAATTGACTTCAAAGTCTTTACGCCAGTTTTGTTCTATTCACTTCAGATTTAATTTTTTAATCGTAGTGAAACAAGTTACCATATTTTTCAGCCTATAAGCTGCTGCTGTTTTCCTCATGAGTCAGGCATGCAGCTTATACGTGGATGAAACCAAAAACATTGGTAGAATGGAAAAAAATGTAGTACCAGTTCAAGATGTCATAAACTGGTGTTTTACGTGTACAACATGTTTGTGACTGAAACAAATTGCTTAGAACCGATTGTAATCATATTCTAAATGATTTGAAGATTGCAATCAAATAACATTCCCATGGATTTAATCAATCATACCTGTTGATATGAAACAGTAATATATTCTGGACTTTCATGGTTTTTTACAACAGTATATGCAAGAAAGCGTAGCGGATGTTTCTAGTAGAATATTGCACCCTGGGATTGATAGGTTGAGGCTTCCAACAGGGGCAGTTAAAAAATCTTATACGCATGTAGATTAACCACCTGTTGATGTTTGGTAGAAGATTATGCCTAACAATACAGTTATCAAAGCTGCTTTGGTACATCACAAGAATATAAGTTTTGTTTTTTTCAAAGTCGTACACATTAATATGCTTTGCATCATGGGGTGAAGCGGTAAAATTCTGGAATGACTGCCATAAGTGTATACGATGTCTGCGGCTTTGATGCAGTTTACAAAAACTACAGGATTATAGGCACTTTATCAACATGCAGTAGCCTTTGTTAATAGTTAACAGTATGGACACTGGTGGAGAGTTTGTAAAACTGACAAGCAATAGACTTCGTTGAAATGGAACAGTACAGACGCTGAAAATTTGTTCAAAATTCATCAATAAACATTATCAAATGTTACATTCACAATCTTGATAAACTGTCTCTCGTTATCTGTTACCTGCCGTTTATGTATAATTTACCTGTTGTATAGGATGTATGATTTACATGTCGTTAAGAATACATGAGGTATCCACTGTTTCTGATGGTGGATTTTCCTGCTGTTTAGAATATATGATTTACCTGCTAATTGTGTTTCAGGTGAAGGGAGACATCTACCACCTGACTAACATACCAGCTCGGCACCAGGTGTGGATAGGCTGGCCTGAAGCTGCAAACAAGGATGATGCAGTAAGCTGATGTTTTAGTAACAATATTTTAGTCTATTTCAATCAAAATCTTTGTTGATATGTTTTTCAAACTTTCTTTCGATCTGAACATTTGTTACACAATAGTTATTTTGATTTGTTTGAAATAAGCATAAGACTAATTTTCATATTCAATGAAAAACTGAATTAATCCATTAGGTTGAAGTTAATCCTGTATTCTTCAGCTGATAAATTATCTAAAGAAGCATGCAATTAAAAGGACCATATATTTCATACAAAATACATCATACAAAGTTGCTTATCATGGTAAATTGAAAATGTAAATTTTGCGTGTAAAATTTTTCAGGAAAAATGGAACATTTATTTTCTGATGAGTGTTTACAAAGTGCCTGGTAAATATTTATTACTTTATGTTACATAGATTACACTAGGAGCTTGTGGACTACAATCACCTGTACATGACCTAGAACTCACCAAAGCTAACATTATTGGAAAGCCTCACCATACTGTACAGGTAAGTTAAAACAGCTGTTTTTTATTGTAAAAATTTATTGTATAGTATGATGTTTATTACAAAATAAAATACTGTTAAATGTCAAATAGTTTGAAATATAAACTGATAAATTATTACTATTATTACAGGTAAATATTGACTTACAAGTTATATTAGGGATATGATTTAAAACACTATAAATTTTTCTCAATTTTGATTTCTGAAAATCTGGTGACAGGACTCATCAGAAATAGACATTAGTGATGACGATGATGAAAATAATGACTCGTATGCAGTAGAGGAAGACATCTTTGAACATGAAGAATCCCAGAATTGTCGAAAACAGACACCACTAAGTAAGTTGCTGATCAGCTATTACCAGCAAGATTAAAGGTAAAAATTTAGATTTCAATTTCAGTTGGGCTATCAAATAAAAGTTGTCTCAGCTTGATAAATGTAATGTTCATTATGGAAAATTTGACTTCCTTTATAAATGCATGTTAGCACTGATATTGCTTCAGCTTGGCCACAGTGCATTTCAGTATATGTTTTTCTAATCAAAATATAAGATATTGCCATAGTAAATTCATAAGGCTAATGTCAGAATTGAGTGAAACAGTAAGATAAATAGTGTCTTATACTAATCACACTGTTGGTCCTTTCATTTTGAATAGAGATTGTTTCCTAAAAATAATTCAGGTATATGTATCAGTTTTCTTTAAAACTTAACTAAGATGATTATGATGACTTTCTCCCGCCTTACTTGGAATATTTGGCCCTATTTGTTGAAATCTTTTAGAGTTATGCCCCGTTTATTTTTTTGCCATTTTAGAAAAAAATAAATAGTACTCCTTTTCACCATGGGCCTATTTTTTTTTGCAACAAACTGATTTGCTGCAACATTTCAATTAGAAATCAGGACAGACCTGCAAATATTAGTAAAGGCCATGAAAGGCTTAGTCAGAGCTTACCAGAAAGTAAAATAATATTAGTAAGTCTGTCCAAGTTCCAATCAGTCTTGGTCCGCCTGGTCAAAACATTAGCATTAAAAGCCCATGTATTCTGTTTGGATTATAATGAAGAATATCTATATTTTTCAAGGCATGTAGTTGTGCCCTTGAAGACCTGTTATTGTGCTAATCAAATTTCTTCCATGGCTAATTCAGTCATATGTATGTATGTATAGATATACTGTATACCTAGTTAAAACTTTACGTTTTAACATGTTTCTTTCATCTTACTGTAATATTTGTTTTAGTGCCAGAAACTGTCGGTGATCAAACAGAGGCCTTAGAACACTTCACACATGAGTTCAGAGAAAGGTAAGTTAGCTGTCACAGTAATTTTTGTTGGATATTTCTGGTGAGGTCTTAGACACTATTTCCAGATATAGTGGGTTCTCAAAATTTTAGAGTGAGTCCCACAGGAAAAGGATGAGTATAGGACTGACATATTTGAATGTTAAAATCATGGCTGTTTGTTTTAAGAAATTGGCTTCTTGATACCTGACAAAAACTGATTGTATTACTGACAGGATTACTGGTACATTTACACATAATCAGTTAATGGATGAATGAATGATATTTTAACATGATCATCTCCAGGCAAAAAAGCTTTGCTTGTTAGATGAAAAATAAACTTCAGTTTTAAAAGCTCTTGTTAAAGTGCAGACAGTTAGGCTTTTGAAACACACATTAGCAATTTTTCATACTTAATTTAGGGATGTGCAATGGTTGTGTCAGATTTTTTCTAATTAAAGATTTATTCAGTGTTTTTTAACAAATATGCATAGTTAACTCAATTCTGATCGATGTTGATGCAAGTTTTAAACATCTTAAAATTACCAAGTGTTTTAATTTCAATTGAACAATTTTGTTTGATTTACTAACTTGTTCATACTGCATTGAAACTACTGAATCATACAGTCAATTTTGTTTTTATTCAAGGTGAAAAATGTTTTTTTTGTTTTGGGTTAATTTTCTGGAGAATATTGTCATGGCCCACATAATCAAAAGCAACTGTGTAAGAAAACTATATCATGGATAACTTGCAATGAATATGAAAGTTGTTGGGCTGTCATTTTCAAGAACATTGTCATATTGATATGATTTTTTTAATAGATATGGTGAGACACACCCAGTATTTTTCGTTGGTTCATTAGAAGGGGCGATAAAGGAGTCTTTATTATGTAGGGCAAAGGATGTAAGTAAAACACATGAGTTTATATCTGTCCAGTTCAGAAATATCAAATATCTTCTACACAAATATGTATTATATAGTCAATATAAGTGTTACGCAGCAAACATGAGTGTTAGATAAATATTATTAGTATATAGTATATATAATATGTTATGAATACAATTTAGATATTGTATTATACAGCTATGTTATTATATTATGTTCAAAGATTGAATGAAAATACACTGTCTTTGCTTAAAATTTTTCATAAACAGTGAAAAGTAAAAACAAAAACGAAGAAAAATGATTTTTGTTTACAGAGGAAACTGCTAGCTGTTTATCTTCATCATGATAACAGTATATTATCAAATGTATTCTGTTCTCAAATCTTGTGTATGGAGACCATAGTGAACTATCTGTGCAGTAACTATATAACATGGGCATGGGATGTCACACATGAAACAAATAATGCTAGGTAAGTCTGTTTTCAACACAGTGCTTTCAATCTTCTTAAACATGGAGTATATTTTTTCCTACTCTCCAAATAAATCTTTTAAAGATTGTATATGGATCAGTAAAGGATTTTCTTATTCAATAATGAGATCAGGGTTCATTGGCAGAGAAGAAATTTATAGGGTTAAAGTTTAAGTGTCTTATTTGCTATTAAGTCTTTCTTTTGATTTACAAAGCCTTTTGTGTGGTGTTCTGGAGACTTTTTTTGACCAGAAAACACTATCATGTATTTAGTATATACTCAACAAAAAAAGAAAGGTTAACATGTTTCCTTGGCAAATACCTGTAAATGAGTGAAAACAAAATAATGTTTGTGCAATATTAGAAAATGGTAATGTTTTTACATTACAAAATCCAAGGGGGTTACCAAAATCATTCAAGCGTGAAAGTCTGTATTAGCGAGAGAGCTAAACGAGGTTTTCTGCAACTAACTTGTATCTTGCTTGAATTTTATAAGCATTCAAACTGACAACTGTTCCTTAGATCCTTAGGACTTAGAAATCACTGAATCTTGCTATATATCAACTTTATCATTATGCCCCGGCTGTCACAAGTACAGAGAGAAAGGGCTGTAGGCATGATCCAGGCTGGGGAGTCTCGCCATCGAGTTGCACGTCATTTTGGTTGCAGTGTTAAGACAATTTGCCAGTTGGTAAGTCGTTTAAACCAAACTGGGTCAACATCCGATTGTCACCGAAGCGGCCGACCCCGTAAAAGGACTGCCAGGGATGACCGTCATATACGATTGATACACTTTCGCAATCGATTCGTAACTGCAGTAGAGACTACAAGGACATTTTTTTTAGGCATCGTGTGTTTCCCCAAATAGTCCGCAACAGGTTGAAGGCCTACCAATTGAAAGCGCGGCGTCCCTACACTGGACCCAGTTTGTTGCGACATCACCGTAATAATCGGTGTAACTGGACCCGTGTACACCGTCGTTGGGCCTTACGACAATGGAACAATGTTCTGGTTTCATATGAGTCCAGGTTTTGTCTGCAACACGGTGACGGAAGGCGCAGAGTGTGGAGGTGATGAGGGGAGTGTTTTGCGAACTGCTGCGTCGCAGAAAGGGACCGCTTTGGCGGCGGAAGTGTAATGGTTTGGGGTGGTATTTGTGGGGGGACTCGTACCAGGCTTGTTGTGTTAAATGGCAATTTAACCGGCATTCAATATCGGGATGAAATTTAAGAAAGACTTGTGGTTCTGCCATTCTTCAGATGCCTTGGCGTTGGCACCATTTTTCAACAGGATAACGCACCAGCGCACAGCAGTCATGTCAGCAGAACTTTCTTGCAGCAGAATAACGTACAGGTGTTAGATTGGCCATTTAAATCACCTGATTTGTCACCGATTGAGCATGTCTGGGACGTTCTTGGGCGACGCGTGAGAGAACGGCTGATTTTGACGTTCTCTCACGCGTCACCCAAGAACGTCAAAATCAGCCGTCAAACTTGCATGAGCTGGCCCAAGCCTTGATCCCTGAATGGAACAACATCTCACCTCGAATTATCCACCGGTTTACTAGTTCCATGCGATGATGCTGCAATGCTGTTTACTTCACAAACGGTGGCCATACACATTACTAATGGTGTTACCTTTGAATTGACCCTAACGTCCTTTACAGTGGAATAAAATCAACTGAACGCAAAGTTTTATAATGAACCATGACTGCAGTTTTATCAGAATTGATCAATTACTTTATTCGTACATGATTGGTAAGGATTTATGAAGGGGTTAATTAATTAATCTCAGAATAAAGTAGTGTTACCTTTCTTTTTTTGTTTAGTATATAACTCAGAAGACAAGTAGGCCTGAAATAAGTTCATCTTATGAATATTTCAGTCTTATGAATATTTCAGTCTTGTTCATCATAGATTGTAACTAGTTTGTATTTTCATGCAAAACATAAGTTGAAAAACGATCCACTTTTCTACAATTGTGATCATGATTTGTGTTCAAATATTTCTATATGAAAATGCTTTATTCAAGGTTTATATCAATTGCCAAAAAAGAATTTGGGAGTATAGTAGCTGCTCAAATACGAGGCCAGAAGCCCGACCAGTTACCATTGTTGATGATTGTATCCCGATCAAGAGCCAGCAACGAAGTCCTTGACATGATCCCAGGTAAATAATACAACACTCTTCTGGGTACAGTCATGTGATATTGCCTGTCTTCATACATAAAGGATACTCTGGAACCTTGCTTAAATAAACCTTTATCTAGTCCTGGAGAGTTGTATAAACAAGACCCATTCTCTATTAATTTTAGAAATTTTCACAAAGGGGCTGTTTCAGTGTGTTGTAATTACCCCACCCCCTGACTTTGAGTCCACTTTATTTTGTTGTTTGAAGGGTGAATAAGGTAATAATAACTGGTGAAAGGAATGAAATCTAACTATCGAGTAGATCTCGGTGTTGTGTTGATCATCTACACATAGAGAGGCTTGTTCTCACTATAAACCATAAAACTTGTTACAGTGATATAGTAAGAATACTTCCCTAATTGGAATAGTTGTACTGTTCCATTAATATTTTGAATATATAAAGAAATAACTGATGCTCATCTTATTTTATCCACTTAGTGCAGAACAAAGAATGTTATCAAATTGAGTACTAGATCTTCAAATGAAAAGCAAAATTATAAATACAGATTTATAAGTTAAAGATGAAAAGATGATGGGATGATATTGTTGAGTGGATGATGTCTCTCAATTTGGGAAATGATCTGGCCTGAATGTTAAAATTTTGATATTTGTTAACAGGTACAGTGACACTGGATGAACTGATGATGAGGTTGATGCAGAATGCAGAAAACTTTCATCTTCAGCAGCAGGCAGACATCAAAGAAGAGGTGAGATTTGTCATACAGATGATGATGTCTATTCTTTCATAATAGATTGTCTGAGGTCATTTACAGGAGGAGAGCTGTGAAGAACACTTGTAACTAAAGTTCATTACCAGTACTTTGGTAAAATAAGCAGTTTAAAGAGATATTTGTTTCTCAATAGGTATTTTGATATGTTTGAAATAAGCGTAAGACTAATTTTTACATTTAATGAAAAGCTGTGAATTAATCCTATAGTAAATCCTGTATTCTTAAGCTGATAAATTATCTAAACTTGAAGAAGCATGCAATCAAATGGACGTTTTGGAAATGTAGGCACAACACAGATTACATGATTTCGCTGTTGTATGCATCGTAAATCTCTGGTGTTTTATGAAATACAGACTTTGCATTCATTCATGAATGTATGTATCTTGCTGATGTTTGGGAAAGCTGTGTGCAAATGAACATTTTAAAAAGCAATAAAATAATATGTGTTTTTGAATGTAAAACTAAAATGATTATGCAGAAGAACAAGCCGTTATGAGTTTCATGTATAATTTTTTCAGGAGGAAAGAGAAGCACGAGACAGCATCAGACAAGAACAGGAATTAGCTTTCCAAGAATCACTGGCTACAGACAGAGCCAAGGTAAATAGTCAAGGGTGATGGTCTGTCAATCTGATGTTAAAGGTCAAGGTCAGAGGTTTCCTTGAATCAATACAGGTCACAGATAGAGGCAAGAGTGTGTCTATTAAGGTCAAGGTTGACTACTGCTTGATAATATGTTAAAGGTAAAGGTCAGAGGTTCTCGAGAATTATTCACCACAGATAAAGCCAAAGTAACTAGACAAGGTCAAGGTAACTTTACTTTATGTCAAAGGTTTCAATGTAATATTGACACCAAATGATCTATATTGCTGATTCTGATTGGTTAAGGCCAGCGTGTCACAGACTAAGATTATGGAACACCAAGGTACATACTTATGAATATTGACAAGTGTCCCATATTAATGACTTTAAATACTGAAGGGCAAGATCAAGGTTATTTTGAAATCCGTCAAATGCCTAATAATAATTGTATAGCCTAACACTATCTCTAAACCCCTGGACTGGTGTTTACATGCCTACTCTTTTCAAAAAGTCACAGAGGGATCTTTAGCTTGCTAGAGTAGACAGTCTGCACACAGGCCACCATTTAAAGTCCCATCAGCCGAACTATGGTTAGTATTCAGTGGTTAGATCAGTGCAGGTGTTATTATAACTAACACTTGTGTTTTTTATTTTATTTTTTTTTGTCCTATCTTGAAACCTTTCCAATCATACCTACTAAGTTACTTGATCAGTTTACAGATGTCTAATGCTTTCTGATAATTCACTCCATCTGCATACATCTGTTCTGGTCAATATTCTGATTTTTTATAATTATATATGTGATTTGTTTGAACGTTCTGATTTAGAAGGGTTATGAGTGGTTCTGGCAAGATAAGTTACAATGAAGTAGAAGATGTTAAGATAGGATGGGATTATGAGTTTTTGAAAGAGTGAGAATCACTTCATGGGTAGGATGGTTGGATTATGTTATAGGTGAATATGTAATTTGAGTCATGATGCCATCTAGGGAGAAACTTTGGAGCTATCCCTTTCATTCATAAAATTCAGCACATTTGACTGATCAGGATGCCGCATGTTCATAAGTGCAATTGCGACTCCCGGCCTCAGTCTGGACCCATTATTACTTTTGGACTACAAGAAATGATAATAATTATCTCAAAGTTGAAACCATCAGTGTGATCTGACTTCTTTCCAAATTAAGTCTTCTTTTTTCTTAGGGACAATTTAAGGGAATATTATGGTCAATTTTAATGATATATAGGGGTCAACTTTAAGGAAATATTTGTGTAAACTTTATTTCTTTTTCAACAGTATGGTCAGTTGTCTCAGTTTAGTAATTAGAAGTGACTGGAACATTTTTTAAAGAATGAAAGACACAAAGAAAATCAAAACACAACAAACACTGAACTTTCAGAACTTCAACAAACCATATCACTGTGAACATACAATGTGCTTATCTGTAACTGTACTTCAAAATTCTGTATTTCAATAAATCTAGTTTGTGTTTAAATAGGCTGAAGCAAAAAGACATGAGGAGGAGATGGAACAAATACGACAGATGGAGGAGGAACGGATGAAGAAGGAAGAGGAAGACAGGAAACAGGTAAAGCCAATTGTGGAATTTTGATAACAAGTTTTGTACATTGTAGGAATTGGGGCAGAACTGCAGTAGTTTAATACTTAGTCTCTTGGTAAGATACCATATATGAATTTTTATCAGTTGGAACCAGCAAACATATCAGTCACAATTTCACTGGGTTTTGTTCTATATGTTGTAATGGTATATTACATGGTTAAATCTGCTATAAGTTAAAGAAAAATAAAGTACCTATTCAGAATTATACTTATTATGATGAAATGTTTAAGGGATATTTGGCATAATTATCTGTCAAAATGTGTAGTGAAAGCTGTTGCTCTATGACAAAACACAAACTAACATGCATTGCTTCATGTACCATTCACTTGTAATACAGATTTTGGGCCGTAGATTGTGTCAGATGGCATGTGAACGATGTGAAAGCTAGACATTGAAGGCACCACACTTAAATAATGTCTGTGCATAGTTGGTGTTATCAGTTGTTAATAATGATCATTTACTTAAAAATGATCATTCTCGCTATCCAGACAGAATCACAAATGGCTCGTCATCAAAACATAAAATTTACTAGTAAAGGAATATAATCAACATTAATGTTGGAATGACACTGCATGATGCTTTATTACAGGTTATGATAAAAACTCACATTGAGAGGATTAACTATACTTCTTAATGTTATTCTTGGGGTCAAAGAATTAGAGTGTATAAGTGTAATGTGCTGATGGAAAGATTGTCAATAGAGCAGCACCCACATTCACCAATGCATTCAACTAGAATAAGGAAACATGGTGTGTATTTTGATGATACAAAGACAATGTGAAGCATACCAATGTTAGTGCCCCCAAACCCTTTAGTAACAGAGTTATTGCCCTTTGTTAAATTTTTGTGTCCATAGCATAAGTTGGCCTGCATTAAAACTAGGTTCATGAAAGTTGGTGTATACCTTGATCAAGTTAAGACAATGTGCCTTCATTTACAGTTATTGCCTCTATTGTTAGAATTTTGTGTCTGATAAAGTTGTTTTTGGGCAGCCTTCATCATGTTTACTTTTTTCTTCATAAAAGGCAATACAAGAGTCAGCACTTATGCATATCCGAAAGGAGCCTCCAGAGACCTGTAAGGAAGCAGTGAGTCGGATACGAATCCGCACACCAAACGGTGATAACATACAACGGAGATTCTATGCCTCAGATAAACTCAAGTACCTTATATATTACATCACATCACAGGGCTTTCACACTGAGGAATTCAAAATTCTTACCACCTTTCCACGCAGAGATGTAAGTTTTTTGTTACAACGTGTACTTCAGTATTCTGAATCAGTGAGATTCAAGTTCAAAGTATCTGAGTTTAGCAAGTTTAGAAATCAAGTTTCCTGTGGATGTCAACTGAAAGCACACAGCAGTTTATTTCTTTTTATTTGCAGACATTTTAGAATCCATAAATTGTGGTCATTGTCTGAACAAATAAAACAAAATATAACTGATTGGAGAATTGAGGATGTCATGTAAATTTAGATATGTCTCTAAATTTTGGTTAGGAAAATGATAGGTTGATTTGCATTTTGATAGAAAATGTATAAAAAATTTTGATGTTATCAAATAAAAACTGATGTACTTCCTTAATTTTATAACCTCACTTTTCAGGTATCACAACTAGATGAAGAAAAAACTTTAGAAGAATTGAAAATGTTTCCTCAAGAAACACTCATTTTAGAAGAAAGACCCTGAAATTCATCTAGATATAAGTTTTAAATACAGAATCAAACCACAGTACAACATTTACATATTATTGTGATATAAAGTATATTTATAGGAATGGAACCCCGATTCCTATTGTAATGGATAACTTGATGATCTCCATGTGGGGGTCATCTCACAAGCAGAATGATATCCAATATACAAATCAATGGAGGCTAAGTAGATTCTGTGATTTGTTAACCCTTACCTGTGTGTAATAGACCCAGAGGATGAAGTCGCTCTCTGTGGATTCCTAAACAGATTGTCTCATTTGAGAAATCCCAACTGCAATATTAACTGGACAAATTTGTTCCAAAAAGGAGCCATCTGGTCATTTCAAGCTATTAAGATGTGATCTGAATTCAAATACAGTAGATTGCAAAAGGGATCATCTCACAGACCTTTTTGTTAGTTGAGAAATCCTGACTGCGTTATTCCAATATCAAGTCATATTGACTTCAGTTATATTTTCCAACATGTTGGCAACAGGTGAAAGTTAATTAGATTTAATAACTGTTTGATACACGAAAGTGATTCAGTCTTACATTCAAATTAAAGTAAATTATATAGAAGTTTCTCACTTCTGATTAGTTCATGAACAGGTAGGATTTAACTGTAAATCTGTTAATGATGAAAGATGGATATTTTAAATTGGTGCCATTGAATCACATTTGAAGATGTAAAGTTGTCTCATTGAATTTTAATATTATTGGTGTATGACGTAAATGTTGAGAATTTTTTTTGTTAACGACTTGTCAGTATATGTGTTATGGAACACGTCAAAAATTAACTGAAGATGTGGTATTTTATTACATGAGTAAAGTATGATCGCTCTGGTGATATCTATCTATAGTTGTTTCTGTCTTATTTATATCCTTTTATTAGGAGTAAGGAATTACATACTGGTGTAGTATTACCATCTCTGTCCAGTCCCTTCTCCAGATTAATGTTGTAAGTCTAGCTACTTCATTTATTCAGATATTTAGATTAACTATGATAATATCTTCAATGAGTTTATTTCCGGGTTTCAAGGTTAGGGTTACTGGTCCTATTTATAGATTTGTCAAACATTTATACTTACATACTTAATATCTTACAGACATTTCTTACTTACCTGCCTGAAGAGCAAGTGAACTTATGCTTTCGCAAGGTGTCCTTCCTTTGTCAGTCTGTATGTCTGCTGTCTGTCAGCATCTGTTCTCTTTTATAAATGTTTTTTCTCAAAAACCAAATGGCTCATGATAATAATATTAGGTTTGTAATATGCTGGGATGAAGGGCTTCCAAGGTTGTTCAAATGCATTACCTTGACCTCATGGTCACAGGGTTCAAATATGTTGAAACTTTCAAATGACTTCTCTGTAAGTTAAAGGCCAGGAGTACAGCCTTTGGATATGTAGCATGTTTGAATAAAGTGCTTCATAGTTTTATAAATAAATGACTTTGATCAACTTTCAAGGTTGCAGTGGTCAGTGATAAAATGTTCAAAACATTCTTATAAGCAGAGATGTCTAAGGTCATGGCATTGCACCAGTTCCATGCTGGAAGGTTTGGCTGCCAAGTTTGCACAAATGCATGATGTTTACACTGAAAAGTTACAGGTGTCAAATGTGTTAAAATCTTAAGTTGACTTCTTTTCAATATCATAAAATCCTAGTGTCATGAATTAAATAATAGCAATTGTGGGAAGTATCTCTGAGAAAATAGGCTGCAGGTTTTCCAGACTAGTACTGTATTTTTTCGTTCAATAAGCCCATGCCTGATAATAAGCCCACTTATTACACTGGTATATTCATTGGTTTTTTTTTTTACATTTTCTTCAGGTTGGTAATGTCAATAGAAAAAAAGATCTTATAACACAACAAGTAGAAGATTAGAGTGTGATGTTTTGATGATTACATGGTCACCTTCATAAGACAATGGACAGGTGTGGAGCATACTAGCATTAATATATGTAGTGTACCAGGTCGAAAGTAGTGTGACGAGATGGTAAACACATTACAGACCTTAGTGTACGTAGGATGCAGTGCAGCAAAAAAAGTTGGTCAATTCTGTACCATCTCATACACTACATATGTCAGTGCTAGTGCACTACACACTGGTTATTTGTCTGGTGTCATCATCAAAACCTAATAGGCCCACCCTCTGACTTTGAGTTAGAGTTTATGTGTTATAACAGGATAAACACAATATGCATCCTTGAAGACAACCACTTTTGCTAGGCTCTGGTTTACTCCTTTGAAACAGGTTTAAAGGGGAATTACCCCCTTAGAAGTCCATCAGTCCAACAATCCATCAGTCTATCATATCAAATTATCCATCTTTCTTGTAGTATCTTCATTGGAATTTCTTACACTAAGTCTTCCAAACTTAACTCAGCAGTCATAACAAAACAAAACAAAAAGCAAGTAATGACATTTCAACCAAATTTTAATTCTGAGTGGATGAAAGGAGGCCAAAGTATAAAGAATAGAAATATTTACAAGGATAGTTTTAAAGCGAGTAAAACAAGGAGAACAAGACCAGATGCTCAAGAAGGGTAAGCATCTTCTACTTCGATGACCACACCCAAAGTGTTATTATTTTGGTCAGTCCGAGTTAGTAATGACACTTTTCAAAATTTAACAGCATCAGGCATTGCAAGCAGTATCAAACACATCTAACTCCAGATTGTAAAAGGAAATAAAACCAGTGAGTAACGTATGTAATGTTGTTATGCTTAGAGATATGTGGAGGAACACTTTTCATTCATTACTGAATATGAAATTTATTGGTCTTAACTTTTCTCTGGTTTGCCTTTTTTAAACTTGATTTGCTCACCTAGTGATCTTATGCCATGGGGCAGCCTCTATCTGGGGTCAACTATTTCCCTTTTAACATCTCAATTACCAATAGACCTGAAACCATGATATTTGACAGGAAGGTTTCTAAGATGAATGCCAACAAAGTTTGTAGATGTGGAGAGGACCTGATTAAAAGTTTCCAACCAAATCTGATTAAACAAAAGTCTTAATGACATCATTTTTCTGATGAACCAAAAAGGACAAGAATCATCAAAAGTCCCATAAAGAGTAATAAGAAAACCCTTCACCCTTATCCAAGACCATGAGTCAAATTTATGAAAACTTTCCAAACAAGATAATTTCCAGTAATGAAGATGTCTAGAATTATGATATTTGGCAGAATTTTTCTTGGTTGAAGCAAAATGAAATGACATATATTCAAGATTTGATAACACAGAAGTCCAATAATCATGAGATTTGGCTTCAAGATTCCTAGGATGATGTTGGAACAATCTCTGATGTCAAAATAATTTAGCTGAAGCCATATCCAAGATTACAATGATCAAATTTGTTAAAGGCTTCAAACCCAAACGACTTCTTCTCAATGACAAAAAAGCCTAAAATATTTGTCTGATAGGTTTTCAGGATGAAGTCCCCTAAAATTTTTGAAAATAAATTACCTTATTCAATATTTAAGGTCATAGATCAAATTTATTAAATGCTTCAAACCAGGTGAGCACTGCATGTTCATTTGGTCATCTGTTGTTTGCTGTTAGATTTTTCATTTAGCTCCAATTCTTGATGAAGTCCGGGCATGACTGCATGTCATAACAGGCAGGTAAATAGGGTGTTACTACCATGTTTATTGTCGTTAAGTTTTTGTCTCTTACCTTCTACTTCTCAGAAACTGTCCATTTCATGGTAATCAAACTTCATATTGAATATATATACTCTGTATATATGAAAGGAAAGGGATTGATTCCCTTAGGATGATTCCATAACAATGAAACGTCCTGGTTCTGGTACCTCCCATAACTCTTTACGATAACACATTTACAAAGACAACTGTTTTAAGGTTAAAGTTGTATGTGAAATGAGAAGAACATCTATTTTATTTAAGTGATAGTTCTTCAAAAGGAAAAGCAACATGTTGATAATGATAAGATTTAAAGCAAATGGTCGCAATCTGAGTGAGGAGATGGGGAAAAAATAAAACGAAGAGAGCCTAAGTTCACATACAGTGTATATATATATATATACTGTATGCAAACTTTGGCTCTCTCCGTTTTAAATTTTTCAGAGAGACGAAGCAACCCGTGTTAATGAAGAGAAAATAAGAAGAGATCAGGAGGCGATGGAAACCCCAGGCCAACCAATCTCAAATAATATTTACAATCAACTGCCTGCAATTCCATAGTATACAACTGGGATAAACCCAAAGTAGCTTTTTTTTCTATACCTCAAGAGTAATGTCCCCCTTACCACCATAAATGTTTAACTACCTGTAGAAAAACGAAACAGACGCAGAGTTGTTAAAGAGCGAAGCACTAAGATGGAATGGACTTTCTGATCACGGAGGAGAATTGCCGGCAGCCAAACGGGATGCGAGACAGACAGAAAAACGCAAGCGATGGAATCAACGATGATGGACGATTTGTAACCTTAAGCTGAAGAGGTCGATAACAATGACAGATTGAGATGTGTACACACCATCCGAGAACTAAAAGCAATGGGTAAAAAGAAGAAAGGATATTGCGAAATTATCTAGAACTCCGAGTACGGAAAGACCAGACTGGATACTAACAGAGAAGAAATTGGAACCTACTCAGAATAGAAAACGGGAAACAATATAAGTAAATGGGCGGAAAAGGTTTGAAAAAATTAAAAAAAAAAAAAAAAAAAGGCGGGGGGTGGGGGGGGGGGAGATATTAATGACCGCGGTAACACGTGTACACTTTTTACCCCGTATTAACGGTCATTGTAGATTGAAAGCACATTCTGTTTAAGCATATTTTGGTCACTTAAAACATTTATATGACTGAAGTTCTTTCGAGGTATTTTAGTTTACGGGACCGATTCACATCAATGGAATAAGTAGAGTTCTTTGCCACAAGCATCGTTTGCATGTTGGCAAGTGCTGTCCGAAAGCAAGGTATTTGTGTATACGGTTTTTCGATAGTTCATCAATTAGGCCTCTATTATACACAAGTAATGGAGCGAAAAAGAATTTGTTTTTCACTTGAATCAATTGATCTTTCTCGTAGATGCCTGGTGTTAGATAATGGAAAACCAGTCGAACCTTTGTTTCACCAGGGACGTATAATACATTGTTTCACGGTCGTTTCATCCAGAAAACTTTTCCGGGTCTTTTCAGTATTTATAGGATAGAGATGGTCGAGTGGTTTTCCGCGGTATTATGGATAAAAACCTGTTGGCACATTTGTAATAAGTTCATTCTAAACAGGGACGAATCCCTGATCTGAACAGTTCGGTTACGTTGAAAAAAGATTATTTTATCATATTAGAGCAATTTGAAATTTATTACAGGTTATCTGTACAGTTTGTCAGTAACGTGTATCTTGAAACGACACTCGGTCACTGAATATTTTAATGACCTTTCATCCAAATGCCTAAAGTGATTTGGAATTCGCGTAAAATTAAATTGAACGTGACTATAATGATACGTGTGTAATAATTTGTTGATAATAAGTTAGAATGCGGGCTTAGATGGAACAAAACCAATTTGGTATTATAAAAGTACAATATTTCCCACCAAAATTCGTTTATATAGGGGAAGTAACTCTTACAAAATAAAAGAATTCTTTTACGCCCGAAGATAGAAAACGTTAACGTCAACATGCGAAGGTCGGAAATGAATGTTTTGCTAATTCTAGAAGCGACATGCTAATGGACGGGTTGAGAAAGGGACTTACAGGTAATTATTCAACGAATATATAGGTAATTTAGCGTGACATTATATCTATGCATCACTTCATCCGAAAGTTTTGAAGCATTTCAGTTTTATTAAGGGGCGTAAAACACTGATTATCGTGAATTGATTGCTGAAATCCGATGATGATCAACTCGTGGAAAAAAGTTCTCGTAACTTTCATCATGTACATATTATTGTCCAAGATTTGTATAACATGTCGTTTAAAACTCGTCGATTGAATGTGATGTGATTCATGTAAATGAAATGACCGGTGATTGTCTCCTCATTATTATAAGTTCAACAGTTACGCTATGGATCCGATTGATTTTTTGCCTAACTCACTTGTTGACAGTTGGGCTTTGCTACTGCAGTCAGAGAGTTATTGTCTATGCATGAAGATGTTAGCAATGCTAATGTAATTACTTAAAGTATATTTTGAAGTAGACCGGTTCAATTGAAATCTGAAGGCTAACTATAGTTTCCTCTGGATCCAACACCAAACATTAATAATTATGATCTAACATAGGAACTGAGCGAGGGTATGGTGATTAATACTTATGTGTTAAGTCCTTGAGTTACATTTACAACTCCCCACCCCCCACCCCCTCTCTTCCAAATTGGAGACATTCATCAGTACATAGATATCTGTCAATATAACACCATATTGAATGCAAGACATACTTGTTAATACAGGGGTTATTGGTGATAGCTATATACATGAACTGAATTAACTACCTTGTAGCATTCAAATTTTAAGTGAATTTTTTTCATATATCATAGATAAATGGGCAATCAATGTACTTTGATCCTGATTGATTAAAAACCACTTCCCGAACAAGTTGTTCTGGTATTACAGGTTTCAAACTTTTTATGTATATGTTAATGTTTGAATCTTTGAACTATTGGGTATGTTTTTGTTTCATAAAATTTTTAGGATATTTTGTAGGTCAAGATACTTTTTAATGTAATGGTTAGGTCAGGACCTTCCTTCCTACATAAAGTTCCAGCAAGCCATGCTGTCCATTGCTGATCGCATATGCAGTTTTTTGGGTTGTATTTTCAGCCATTTCTAACTTTTGTACACAACACCATAACATACTTTCTAATAATAATTCAAGGTTCTCATGCACTGCTTTTTCAGAGCATCATGTAGATTTCTCAAAGCAGTTCACTAATTGTGACGACATTTAGTCACATTTTGACAAACAGATCATCTGTCCATAAAAATGTCCGTCTGGTGTAGAAGCCAGAGAAAGCTCTGGCTATCATGTTCTGTTCTATATGTATAATTTTATAAAGAGATAGTGACTCTGTACATGTAGGCCTGTTTGAAGCACTGCATGGAAATATAACTAATCACAGCTGGGTTTTGAATTAAATTCAGAAATTAATTATTGCATTGCATTAGCAAGAAAGTTTTTCAAATAAAAATTTTTTAATATTGTATATGACAGATTATATAGTCTTGCTAATCTTTTAGGTCAGGGTTAACATTATTCATACTAAATTTTTGAAAGGTGACGGCGTAAATGTAAGACTCAGATAAGAATGGCCACAGGAGGAGCAGCCAAACCACGAAAAAACAGCAATAATGGCCAGAAATCCACTGTGAAGATCTTCATCACATCGTATTCAGACGAATTTCATTCAGAGAGAGATGTGATAAGGAAGCAGGTATAGCATGCCCTCTGTTTTTCCAGATCTCACTCCCTACCAGAATAAACAGATATATGGCAAAGCAGTCAGGATAATTGTCTGTTTGTGAATGAGGAATTTTCATTTTCAAACAAATGACTATGGATAGTTAGCTAATACAGCAATAACTTTGCTAATTAAGCTTCATAAAGTGCATCTTGAAATTGCTTGATCGGGATAGTTTTTCAACTTTGAGAGTCAGAGGTCATTAAAATATAAATTGTTCTAGATAGCTTACTGAAAATTTGGTTGTCTGTTTATTCCACTGTTTATTCGAGTACCCTACTACTCTGTGTAATTTTGACAGGTGTCTCAATCCTTTGGGTAATATTTTAAAGTTTATCATGACAGCGGAAGAAAATCTGGATATAGTGGTAGACAGAGAAGCATTGATTTGGATAGTTTTTCATCTCTGAAGGTTTGAGGTCAAAATGACAAGTACTGATTAGAAAATTGATTTTGTGCAAAGTAATTTGGGTCTCAAGAGGCTAATCAAATTCAGACCTGATGAGACCTAGAAGGATGAAACAGCTGTATGATGCAGCATTTCTTATTATTCATAGAAGATCAAAACAGCTAGATATGATGCAGCATCACTGATTAGTCCTAGAAGGATGAAACAGCTTTTATGATGCAGTGTCACTGATGAAGCCTAGAAGGTCGAAAAAGCTTTTATGATGCAGCATCACTGACAAGGAAGAAACATATGATGCAGTTTGATTAATTAATTTTCTCTACTGCATCTAATTGTAACTTTATATTAAAAAATGCTATGTACTTGTGTGCCTTTTGTACAATCCATGTATATCATGCAGTATTTATCTACAGTTATAATGGTTTCAGCCTTTCATAAAACTGAACACAAACTAGCATAAATATCCCTTCTTCCACTACATTATAAAAGCCGATATTTTAAGTTCTTAAACCGCTGATATCTCAAGATCTAAAGGTCCACTAGGTTGATACTTATTAAGCAAAGTTTAAATTTACAGTATGAAAAAGCAAAGTCACATCGATACTTGATTTGGTACCATTGATTTGACCAAAAATATAATTGATATTACCTTTTTAGTACAATGTATTATCAACATACTGTAGTGATGTGGATATTACACCACAGCAGATAAAATTAAATCCTTTCTAAGATCATTTAATTTCTCTGTCTTGTATCATTAGGTGCTGCCTGAACTGAGGTTGTGGTGTGAATCAAAGCAACTCACGGTGGTGGAACACTTTGTTAAGTGGGTAGGTAAACCAGCAACAACAGGGTATAGAAACTGAGCTAATTGATTTCACAAAAAGAATATTAAATATTGCTGAAAAGAGATGCGTACAACTGAAATTAGGTATGAAGTAGAAAGATAATCTTTTTAATGACTCTAGATCTTCTCCAATAACAACTTTCCCTAATACAATCACATTTAAGTGTATATATATTGCACATCAAGTATGTGGGTAAGTCTTCTGACCTTGCCACATGGCTCTTCATATTTGTGCTGCAGGTTAATCTTGTTTACAGAGCATGATCTTATCAAGCTAATTCAGGTTTAGAATTCAAAATGATGGCTTTTAGATTTTCTTTCTTTGTCATATTTTTAAGAAGTTAAATATTTTAATGTTATATGAAAATGATTTTATTAAAAAAGAGCAATTTGCTGCACTCTAGATTTTAGGCATGACAAAAGTACAAATTTGAATAAATTCTATTCATATAAGTAGCAGAATTCTCAAATCGTATCTTAGTGTATACAGCATATACAACAAATACCTGTTTATGAAGACCATTGGTTTCAGATCCAGTTATTACATAAATCATGATTATGACCCCTTTAAAAAAAAAGTGACCACATACAGTCCTATTTTCTCTGCTCCATTGCTCCATAAAATGATTGTATGGACAGGTTTTCGCTGCATATGGTTTGTGTCACAGTAACTTATACATACTGTTGTAAAATTGTCTTGTGTTCATGTTTTGAATGTGCAATGTGTATTTTGTTGTCTGCTTATTAATCCAGGGCTCGAGACATCCAGAGAGGAGGGATGTTATTGACCAGGAGAAGATACAGACAAGCATTGAGTCATGTTATTTCCATAATGTGATGCCCTTATTTCTTAACATAACCAGGTTGGTAGTACCTGAGCTTGACTCGTTATGGATTGATATCTACAGCATACAATCTATCAATATTTTGAACGGATGAAACATCAGAAGACAAATATATATGGCTATAAGGACTATGTGCATTTTAGCATTTAGCTATGTATATCACCAATTCCCATTGTTATAATTTTTTATGTTTGTAAGATCCTATTGATAACTGTAGTTTATGAAGTGGCAGAGTTCATGCTTAAACAATAAGCATTTTGTAATTTATTCTCTTATAATGAACAAACCCCCCTAACTTTTTAAATTGTGATAAATTGGAGGCTCTGGCTACTTCAGTCTGTAATGTCAAGACACACATGACAAATTAAATACGCTTTAGATTATTTGGTTCCTCAAGAGTATTGAGGAATGTTTGTGACTTCTGTTGACAGTGAGGCACTAGGATGGGTGCCGATGTGGGGAGAACACTTGGATGATAACATAGAGGATTATATTGCTGCATATGGTTTACTGGTGGAGGACCTAGAGGTTATGTATGGGGCCTATCGTGAGGATAACCATAACTGTACGTATCATTTTCTACTAGCATGTGCTGTAAATCTTGTTGATATGAAGTCACTTCCTGTTTATATCCACTATCACGTCATATCAAAAAACAAAATCAATGAATATGTGTACATATTTGATACATAGGTTTCCAAATAACAGAGGTTAATAATAAGACAGGTTTAATTGTCACAGGCAGCGGTACTTATTAGGAGGGATAACACCGTCTATGATTTAAACAGTGAAATTCATTTATGTTTAATTTGTGTATGAAGATGCTATTGATAAAACAATTAGATTCAACATATTTCTATTTCATGATTCAGCTTTATTTTTGATGCGGCAAGACGATTTCCTTGAAAAGGTGCCAGCTACAGAGAACAAATATTTTGTGAGAGACACAGCTGCTTCTCAGAAGATCAAAACTGCTGGAGATAAAATCTCTCAAAAATTTCCAGTAAGCTTTTACCTGTCCTATCTATAATACAGGGAACAAGTATTTCCTTTTTATGTTTTATTTACTGTCAAGAAATGATGATAAATAGAGGCAAACAATTTATGTATTAGTCCTCCTTGAAGTATATATACTAAAAGGATAAAGAAACGCAGGGTGAACTTTAAACCAGAAATTAAGTATGATATCGGGCTTCATTTAAAACGAAATTTTGTATACTTACAGATAAATTAAAGCTTAACAATTTCCAAAGTTTGTAATTTGCATCTGACAATTGGTTTAGAGGTAATAACGATTAAATTGAATGGACCCATAGGATTTTGAAATTGAAATTGAACTGAGTCATCAATATCTTGTATGTCCGCCGTTTGCTGTGGTCATGGCCCTTATTCTTCTGGTCATAGAGTTCATGAGAGCATTAATCCGTCTTATGGGGATGTTGTCCCACTCTTCAATCAGAGCTCTGATCAACTGCTCTCGAGTAGCAGGGGGTGGCTGGCGCTTTCGAACCTGTCTATCCAACTGGTCCCAAAGATGCTCGATCGGGGACAAATCAGGGCTATATGGTGGCCAATCTAGTGGTTGAATGTTGTTGTTGGCCAGAAAGACTTGGCAAATCCTTGCTACGTGGGGCCTAGCATTATCCATGCTGGAGGGTTAGATTATGCCGCTGTAAGAAAGGGATAACATGGGGGGGTCGGAGGATCTCATCACTATACTTAGCTGCTGTTAAATTGCCATCAATAACAACCAATTGTGATTTTAACCTGTGTGAGATTCCTCCCCACACCATTACTGAACCGCCCCCAAACCTATCCTTCTCTACAACGCAAGCGTCTGTAAAACATTCGCCATGACGTCGGTAGTCACATTGACGACCGTCAGATCGATAAAGACAGAATCGAGACTCGTCCGTAAAGAAAACTTGTCTCCACTGCCTCAGTGGAAACCGTCATAGAGCATGTGCAGCAACCCAGGCCATACGACGCTGATGTCCAGCAGGGGTAAGATGTGGACCTACGTAGGGGCGACATGCTCTTACACCAACTTCTCGTAATTGATTCCTTACAGTTTTTGAACTTATAGGACGCCCATGATTTCCACGAACATTAAGTGCACTATCAACGGCAGTAAGGCACCGATTACGCACATGAGAGACGACGATATAACGATCCTGACGTCGTGACGTTACGCGCGGACGTCCTGACCTAGGTCGATCGGCCAATAGCCCAGTTTCCCGAAGATGTCTTACAACACGTTCTATGGTGGAAACATTAACACCAAAGTGCCTAGCAACCTGATTTTGCAGCTGTCCTTGCATCAGCATCTGAATGGCCTGACCCCTCTGAACTTCTGTGAGTCGTGCCATTCTTAAAACGAATCAAATTCTCAATTAATTTTAGGGAAGCAGTTGGTCTGTATAAAGACTAACGAAGAGTGACTTGACCAACGCTGCATGAGACCAGAACAATACGGTGCACGAGATTCTTGTTTTTTCCTTCCTCCATTTACCAGAGCTGTGCACTGTACCTTGACTAAATTTTCGATACATGACAAGGTGTAATATGACCTAATTACTCAATCCACAAAGTTTCACTTTATTTGGAGAACGCGTTTTCAAAATATCGGAATAAATATTACCCTGCGTTTCTTTATCCTTTCAGTATACAGTATAGAAGTCAAACCTATGTTATAATGGACATGATGTTAACATTTCCTAAAGTTCAAGACACTAATGTTATCAGTATCACACAGCAGTATTTGAAGATAATAATATGTTCCTTCTGTTAAACACGTCATATATTCAGCAGATAGTTTTAATGAAGTAAGCTAGGCTTATTTTACATGTTTGGAGTGCACACCCTCCTACTTTAATAACCTCAAGGTAATTAAAAGCATTCTATTTTGTAGTGAAAAAGTTGTGTAATATAACATTTGGTCACAATATTTTGCAGTCTAGTAGAATTTCCAAGTATAAAGTGCAATATATGGGTTTGGACCAGAAGAAGAGACCACGGGTACAGCTAGAGGACAGCTTCACACAGATGGTATATATACCTCATAATCTCATGTCCCTTGTTCAGTGTGATTAGTCTTGAACTCTTCTAAACAAATCTGAAAGAAGCCACATTTTCTTTTTTTTTTTGAAACAACATAAGAATGAATGATTTCTATGGGAAAAGATTATTTGCTGAACAATGTAACTGTTTTTAGGTAAGTTGTTGGAATGTAGCAAAACTGGATCAGAATCAACTATGTCAAATAAGTTTCTTGAGTTTGAGTAACCATCTTGAGTTTAAGAGGCATGATCTGGCTCGTATATCCTTCAGGAGTTAATACTCAAAATACTGTATATTGGTAATATTTCACATGTATTTTATTTTGGCTATATTTGCATTTCGACTACAATGGTCAAATTTAAATCACCATCAAAATATTTAGCACTTCACTATCATTATTGAGAAGTGTCACAGTATGTTCTTATTACTTAGTGAAAATATAGCACATTTGTACTAGTTCCACTACAGCCAATTGTTTTGAGTGAAGTGACATTTGGGACGATTAATACACATTGCAAGATTTACACACACATTTACAAGGTGTGAATCTGTTCTGAAACAGATTTACTCTCAACCAATTATACTCAAAAACATTGCAAAGCAAACTGAAGTAATACTGACTATTGATATACGCAAGTGATCCTCAAAATATCGGAAGCAGTGCAGCAATATATGACCTCTTGGAAGTGTGAAAATGTTCCATAACTGTAAAGGTAAATGTAATTGACCCACATATTTCAAGGTATACATTAAAGACTAAAATCACTACACAGACTGCATTTCATATTCTTTCTCACATAATTGACTTGTTTGCGGCTTTATGTCTTAAAACAAGCAAATAAGATAAGATAAAATTAGATATCTAACATATTTGAGCAAAGACTCATGATTGAATTTTGCTGATCAAGATCTATAATGTTGGTGGATGCAGTGTCCAATGAAAGCATTTTGTCACTTTGTTTATTTAGGTGACAGACTTTTGTAAACAGAAAATAGCCTATGATTTCCTTGGGGAACAGCCCCAGTCTTCTACCAGGGAGGACTCCAACACCAAATTAGAGCATCAGTTCTTTATGAAAAATAAAGGGGAATTTGTGATAGGTAGATCTGACGTCATCCGTAAGGTAGGTCGTATGATTTTGAATCTAATGCTGGTCCTTTAACCTACCTGCTTTCATACAGCATGGCAGAAAGATAGAATGTTAATTTGATTGTTGGTACTGACTACACCTGAAGGCAATATCAATCAGCAAATGTTCATAAATAATTATTCTAGTAAGTTATTTACTTCACATGCTATTAACATCCACCCATGTATCTCAAAGTATGTGCTATAGCCTCCAGTGTCTGAAACGTTTCTTGATTTAAGGAAAGATGTTAGCTTCAGTTTTCCATAGGAAACCACTGACAAAGGAAAAAAATAGGGGTTTTTTTTAAATATTTCTGATGTGCTTATCTATTAGAAAATTTTAAGTTTGCCTGGGAAATTTCCTGAATTTTAAGAAATTGAACTAATGAAAAAAATCAAGAAAAAGTGGAAGTCATATTCATTATCATGTAATGTGGACAGATTGAGGATTATATATTCCGGGACGAGAAGGATGTTCCACTTCTGATCCTCGGAGGACAAGGGTATGGCAAATCCTCCATCTTATGCAAGGCTGCATCTGTGATAGAAAAGAAAGTACAGGATGAACAGCTACAAAGGTAGGCTATAATTACAGCTAGATTTTCGTGTAGAATATAACAGCTACAAAGATAGGCCAAAATTACAGCTAGATTTCAGTGTAGATATTACAGCTACAAAGATAGGCCAAAATTACAGCTAGATTTCAGTGTAGAATATTACAGCTACAAAGGTAGGCCAAAATTACAGCTAGATTTCAGTGTATAATAGAAAAGCTAAAAACGTAGGCCAAAATTACAACTAGATTTCAGTGTAGAATAGAATAACTAAAAACATAGGCCAAAATTACAACTAGATTTCAGTGTAGTATAGAATGGCTACAAAGGTAGGCCGGAATTACAACTAGATTTCAGTGTAGTATAGAATGGCTACAAAGGTAGACCGGAATTACAACTAGATTTCAGTGTAGAATATAACAGCTACAAAGGTAGGCTAAAATTACAGCTAGATTTCAGTGTAGTGTAGAATAGCTACAAAGGTATGCCAGAATTACAGCTAGATTTCAGTGTAGAATAGAATAGCTGAATAAAATGGAATAAAACAGCTATTTATTGTAGAACATTTATTAGTGGTAGACAGAAGATATTTTATCAGTTAATGAAGATACCTCGTAATTTCATTAAGTATTTCCTTGAGATTCCCTAAATATAGATACTGTTGCTCTGAAAGTACATTAAAAATATAACTTGCTGTTTCTTTAACTTAATATAATTAATTGTTAATCATCTTAAATTTTCCTGAATAAATCGGGTCTGTAATCCTTAAATGTGAATTCATTGATATGAAGGGGATTTCGATATAAAATACACTACTGTATCTTTACAGTACATCACGCCAGAAGTGGCATGTTTTCTTCCACTTTGTTGGTGCAGCACCTGGTTCTACATACCTTGAAGCCATGCTAAAACGTCTGCTCAGGGAAATGGAAGTTATCAATGTAAGTAGACTTAAGTTTATCATCTGTGTAAGGGTCCTTGTAATTTATCTGACGTCAATAAGAGTGTATTTGTCAGTTGTTGTCAAGGTTAGTTTGTCTTTCATCATTATCAGTATATGTGTACCTGCCATAAATAGAAGTGAACTTAGAATCAATGTAAAAGAACCTGGCATCAGAGTATGCCTTAATTTTGCATGAGGAGAATCTTCAAAACTTTTTGAGAGAATAAACAGACTTGGGTTGATACAGATTCTAAAGCTCAGCTATACTACTGCCTATTATGTAAATAGATTAAGAATTCAGTGAGGAATCATGTCTATGCTTGTGAATAGGCTTACCATCATTTGAAAGTTAAAAAGGCTGAGTTATCATTTCAGACCGTAACTTCATAAACAATGGACTGATTTCATTTACTATAATGTTGTTCATAATTAAAAAGAATGCTGAATTAATGAGATATTGAATCTTTGCAAAGCATTTAAGTCATTATGATATTTTCCATGCAAAATCATTCTGGCCAGTACATGCATTGGTGTGAACTGAAATCTGTATCAAGGATTCAATGTAAAGTATGTTTCTGCTATTATAGGACTCTAACATCCCACGAGGAATTGAATCTACTGCTCAGATGTGTTGTAGCATGCTATCTAACCCTAACACACGGCCAGTGATCATCTTCATAGACGCTCTCAACCAGGTACCTGTTTGGTCATTTAGTGATATTAAAAAATCAATTGATAAATAAAAGTATTATTTTGAATCTTCAAAATTGATTCAAAGTTTTTTTCTGTAAACTTTCTTATAGCGGAATAAAAATTATTTGAAGTTGAGTGCAAAAGTCTTTCTTTGGGCAAATAAAAGAATATGAAATATAATGAATTGAAGAGTTGTACATAAATTAGTGCATCAGAGTTTATGTGCTGATTGTTAAATGCCATCAATTGACATGTGTTTACACTTTCACAAGTTACAATCCGTTGATTAATAAAAAAGATACACTTAACACACTAAATCATTTTACTTTTATAGTTTGCTGAGGAACAGGCAGCCTTAGTTATGAGTTGGTTGCCAAGGAAACTTGCTCCTCGAGTGCGCTGTGTGTTTTCCACGATAGAGAACACACCCCAGCACAAAACCTTGGTTGCCAGAGAAACAAAACCTATTTTACTTGAGATAAGTCCCCTGGACATGGAGTCTCGTCAGGTATGTTGACTCTCTGGCTGTTCAACAATTATCCAAGGGAGATAATCCAGTTTGATAGGTCATCACTAAGCTAAATAGTCAGCTGAAGAATGCTACCAGTAGATTATACAAATAATATAAATAATGTGTGCATTATCTTTTACTGTGATTGTTAAATCATATATTTTCCTTTGATTCAATTTTTGTAGTTTTTAAAAAAATAACTATTTCATGGACACTTGAATTTGTGGGTTATGAAGCTCATATGAATTCTTGAATTAAGAGTATAATTTTTTTTTTTTTTAAAGTACATTTTCCTTTGTTGGACTCATATTTACAGCAATTTTTTAATTCCTTTTTTAAAATTATATTAAGAAATTTAATTAAGTCATATTCATTAACTAACTAAAAAAATCTAGATTGAAAACAGAAATTAAAAAGTTCAAACATTTTACTTCTTTTTCAAATGTGATCAGAAAATAGTAACAGAACTGCTAAAGAAGTATAACCGTTGTTTGAGCGAGAGTCAGTTGAGTCGTTTAATGACCAAGCAGACATCGGAAAACCCTCTCTGGCTCACTGTGGCATGTGAGGAAATCCGCCTTCTGGATGACCTCTGTGATGTAGACAGAAAGATCTCGGAGCTTCCAGAAAGTCTACTTAGGTATGTAAGGTTAAGGCCAATGTGAAGGGGGAATATTATCTACAGATCTCTGAATCTATCTCTGTCTCCAAGATAAGCTATAGATTTTGTAAACAGTGCAGTTTTGGAAGAATACGACATTACAAAATTCTCAAATCAGATAGTCAAGCAAGTTTGTGATAGGATACTTCATTGAAATGTAAGACAGAACAGCAAGGCAATGTGTTGTTTTCATAGAATAACCTTTGACCTTAGCTTATGTGTACAGAAACAAAATGTCACACATGGTAGATTTGAAGGATTCATTTTGCACAAATCCTTGTAAGGGCTTATGATTTCAAATTTATTTGAAAAAAATAAATATAAATACTTTGTGAAATATCTGAAAATGACTTCAAGAAATATTAATATATCAGGTAATATCATATTGAAATACCTTTATTCATATTATGTGGATTGATAAATAAAAAATCGTGATTTTATGATAAAGCTTCCGAAATAAAGGGAGATAATTTATTTACGCAGCCTGCTGGAGTATCTGTTGACACGACTAGAGACAGAAGCTGGTGGTAACCTGGTAGTTGCCACTTTGTGTCTGTTGGAAGCCTCATCAGCTGGACTCCTAGAGAGTGAACTTCGACAGATCCTGGGACAGGAGGCCACACTCATGCCACCAAGTCCATTTGACGAAAAAGGTACAGATAATAATTGATCATCTTCCATGATTTTATTTCATTATTGCAAACAATAAATAAATCCTGATTAGTTGAAAACATAACCAGTTACACTGAATATTTATGAGATAGTTTTGGTATTTATTTTAGTGGGATAACACTAATAAAAGAAAGTTGAAAACAAATGTTAAAATGTTTTCTGAATTGCAATAAATAGGCCATCAGTAATTAGAAATGGACAAGAAAAAGATGAAATATTTTACATAACGACCTTAAATTTTCATTGGTTGTTTACTTTCTTAGTTTTTATTATTAAAAGTGAATTCCACTCTATGTATAGGGGGATACTTTATTTATTTTTAGTTCCTGTATATCAATATAGAAAAGTAAAAATGACACATTCAGAAATGTTTTTGCAGGCATGAAACCATTGATATATCCTATGGTATAGTATATGGAATGAGAAACTAGAGTTATTAATTGTTATTCATGTCCAAAAATTAAGTGGACTTTGAATTCTTTCAGTATCTAAATAACCTTTCAGCAAAGTTAACTTCTTTACTAAAAAATAACACAAGGAAAATTCAACATTTAGTGATGGATATAGCATTTTAATGTCTGTCGTTTCACAGAGGAGAAAGAATCATCAGAGAAAGAAAGTGCAAAAAATATGGGACCTCTTCCTGATAAAAAGTGGACAAAAGTGTTCTCCACACTTCAGCCATTTCTCCGGCCTTATGGGGACAATCGTGAGGGACGGCTGGACTTCTACCATCGTGCCCTCAGCAAAGCTGTCATAAAAAGGTTTCAATCTCTTTCTGATTTCAAAAGTGAAATTCGGATTTTGTAAAATTTTCTTTCAAGATGTTCATTCAAAAAATAGTACAAAAATTTACACGAGAGAAAAACTTGTTTGTTTCATGATTTTTATGAAATATATTTCCTTTTTAGTTAGAAGTGATCTTAACAGTGTATGATCTGGTGTGAAGTTTTTGTAGTTAAAAAATAAAGTAATTTAAAGCAAAATTGAAGAAAACTTAAAAGAAACTATGCATATGCACCAGTCATGTTGTTTTGTGCTGCATGGTGCTAATGTACATTGTTTAAGTATTTTAAGCAGGGAAAGCCCATATTCAGATAAATATATTAAAGATTGATTATTAGGGAAAATTTGATTGATATGTCATATATGTTGCTGGTTGGTTTACAGATATTTCCAGAAGAGTGATGAAGAGAAAGCCAATGGTCAAGAAAAATCGGACTCCTACTATTGGTGGCATAAAAAACTCGCTGACCACTTCCAACACATGGACAATGTTGATCGATATGTAGAGGTCAGTCTGGCAGTGAACATTTGGCGCAATACCCAAACTTTAAATACTTTACGCAAATAGAATATGATTAATTGTCCTGAGATAGCACTGTTTTGGGGAGAAAATGGTCAATATTTGCAAGTCTCTTTCATGTTTAAGAATGAATCTTTTTGGTTATGACTTCTTCCATCACCCTGCATACACAGGAGTTTCCAAGCAATAAATGAAACTATGCCAGTCTGAATCATCTTAATTGTCTGGCTTTGTGATCTTGGAAAAGTTCAAAATCGAGAACTACAGTTTAGGTACATGTCAATATGTTTTATACATTAACAGGAATATCCATGCCAGCTGGTCTGTCTGGATGATGGTTATCGTCTAGCCCAATGTCTCTGTGATTGGAGAATATTTGATCAGTTGTACCATGAAGAATTCAGCTCCAGGCTGCTAGCATACTGGAGAAAGGTATCTATTACTTACAGCAGTTGCATCCTCTACTTACAAATTAGGGAAATTTCTGTACAGCTGTTACTTTTTTCCTGGATTACATTGTCACTGTTTCTATTACGGGTTGGTATGGCTGCTAAGGTAAACAGTCATATGTATGTTGACTTTCTGTTACAGGTTGGTACGGCTGCTGAGATGATCTCCTACTATGAGAAAGCATTGACAAGGTTTGAGGAAGATGACACAGTAAATGAGGAGAATGTGTCTATACGATACGAGAAAGTATGCAGGGTTGTGTAAGTGATATTGATACAGTAGAGACAATGGATGAGGAACATGCCTTTAAGATATCAGTTTGCAAGGTTTTGTAAGTTAACCAAAAGAATTGAGAAAAGTGACCTGTATATAGCTGTTAATTTAGTGAGAATTGTATTACATTTGGGAACTTCTATTATTAGCTTTTATAGACAGGTACATTTTGTACTTGTTATATAAAAGTGACCTTTTTGTGCAGATTTGCCAATATTTATAGTATTATTGTCAGAATATTTTCAAAAGGAGATTCCTATATTTTTTCTTTGGAGTATTTTGGAAATATATATCTTTAAGAAAAAAACCTTAATATATTCAATTTCAAAATTGAAATTCGTTCCTGTTTTGTTTACACAGTATACAGGCGGGAAAATACTTAGAAGCATTAGAACTTCTGCGGACAGCCATGAAAATTGAGGAGAAAGAGCTTGGAGCTCGGCCACATCGTATGGTGGAGTTGTACGCTCTAATGGCAGAGATTTATGATGAGGTATTAAAGATCTGTGCTGTGGACTCCCTCATAAGTCCTATAATTAGATATAATTAGATATAATGTGAAAACTACTCGATCTTGTGTGCTAGATATTTGATTTGTCTAATGTTTTATTACATAGTTACCAGATGGTTAGAAATAGGTTCTGGTATTGAAGCTTGAATTGGATTAAAACACTACTGTATATGAGCAGTGATCAATCTCCTTTTTATTTTTATGGGTCCTATTCAAGTATGTCCCTATCAAATTTCTTTGAGTACAGGACTCAAGACTATAAGCATGTAGATTTATCATTGAAATGCCCCTTGTTAGATTCACTCTTATTATTTGGAAAATTTGCAAGGCAATACTAAGGTGAAACTACATTAAAAATTCCTCCGACTACAGTATTGGGTTTTTATGAAGTGAAAAATAATATTTCGAAACCAATATTTTCTTTTAGTTATTAGATTGTTTTCTAGCATATTGTACATATATCTTCCTTGTTCTACTTGGATTTCAGAAACTCAAGTTGAATGACTTTGTGTCCCCTAGTCAGCTCCCAGATCTCAGGAAAACTATACATTACGGGAGGAAGTCTATAGCCTTGAGGAAAAAGCTCCCTGGCACATATCACAAGGTAGAATTCCTGCAAATATGTCATGGCAGTTTTTTTTTAAAATAGCTATGTAACTTCTATGGAATGTTGTGTAAAAAAGTCCTCAAATTAATTATTGAAAAGTACCTTAAAGACAGTCACCTTTTGCTGCCATTGATTAATTTCCAAATCAACAGTATAAGAGACATTTTGATTGGTCAATAATTTGACCTTTGCGGTCAGTGGAACGTTGATTCCTATGGGCCCCTGTCAAATCCTCATGTAACAAGTTATGAAATGAATAAAAGACATCTGATTTTAATTAGATTAATATTGAAGGAAATTATTCTCTGTCTTTGTATGTAATATAAATTTGGGATGTAAATGCCAATCTCCACTGTGCCTATTGTTTTCAGTATGAAAATTAGCCTCCAGCTGATTTAAATATTTTATGCCTATATCTGAAAATAGGTTGAGAGTTTGTATTTGTTCCTAGCTGGTGCTCTCTAACTTGCTCTCTCTCTATCCATGCATCTCTTTATCACCGTTACTGATATTTGCCAGATTTTGCTCTACATATCAGTATATATCTCTCTAGGCTAGAAGAGTGTCACTTTCAACTCATTCTGCTTATACAGTTACAGCTTATGTTCATTTTATGATATTCCAGTTTGAGAGGAGAGGAGTTGATTGATTGTTTGCCTTCTTAAGAAAAAAGATGACCCAATATTTCAGTGGCTCATGGAGGTTATGTCAACCACATAGAAAACAAAGTAAAAAGTGATAGAAGTTTTGATTGAAAATGTTTTGTGACACAATCTGATAACCATTTTCTATTGGTAAAATTGTTTATAATTTACAGTTGGTAATATTTGAGGGAGATTTAATTTTGCTGTATTAATGGTCAGTAAAGGTAGTAGGAAAATAAATACCCAATGAACAATTTCTACAATTTCTGCCTGTATATATGAACACATTTTATAGACATGCACAAAATTTAAATGTAGCTTTGAATTAGCCCTAAGCAGTACAACAGTGAAATATTAGAGAGGCAAAATCCACTACTGTATATAGTTATCATTAAAGAAGCTTTCTTTGGAATCTTAATGGGAGACTTCACCTGTACAAAGGGCAAGTGAACTTATTTCATGGTAGGGCCATCGTCATCTTTCCATTGTCTGTCTTGTTTTAGACAACTTATTCAGAATACCCCCGAGACTAGGGGTTGCAATATTTGCCCAGTAGCATATTGTGATGAAGGGCTGTGTGAAATTCTATCTCAGAAATGACCTGGGTCTGCTTCAACATAAACGAGGTCTGAGGTGTGAGAATTTTGGAATTATAATCAAATATGAAAAAAATTTCATTTACTTTAATGAAGCTCAGTTCTTGGATTGGATGGAAATGCATTGGGGGTCTAAATGTGGGACGAAACCATAGTACCTGGAGAATACTCATTATATAGATTCAGGCACATATGGGTAATCTTTTTTGAAAAAAAGTATAATATCCACTTTGTCCCCTAAACACTTAAAAAATTCATAAACTGTTGAAATATTGTTTGATATTCTTTAAATCATTTTGATTTAGTGAGTTCAAAAAAAGAATAAAGAGGGAAAAGCACATTCTGTACCAATATCTTTGTCCTCCTCCTCCTCACCCTCCTCCTCATCTTCCCTCTCTAGATTCACATTGAACTGCTATAACAATGTGTATGTTCATTATGGTCATTTCTGTTTGTTAACAGTTTAAGTTAGGTATGAGTCTGATGAAGCTAGCCTTTAACATGGAGAGCTGGGAGGCGTGTGGAGGCGGACCAGAACTCACGGGTGAGGCAGCCTTAGCCGAGGGGAACAAATACATAGACAAGGCTCTCAAGATATTTGAGGAGGTATGTATTGCTGTAGTAGTGATGGGAAATTGGTCAAAATTTATAATTGATGATCAGTTGAAATTTGATAGACTTTTCAATGTAATTAATCAGTTTCATAATCAGCTGACTGATATATTCTCTACTGCAGTAATTTTTTTTGTAGCTTGAACCTTAGCTTTACTTACCTAAATTTGAAAAATGAATATTATTGGCTATTGGCATCTTTATAAAGCAGAATACAAATTTGGCTTTTGCTATTAATGTAGGTGATTGATTGTGAAAATTACAATTGATCATCGCATTAGATTGGGTTCAAGGATTAGATAATCAATCCTATCTGATCATCATCACATCATTATGTTTTAGATACATTGAAGGAAAAGTAGATAACCTAAAAAAATACTCTTACCAAATAAACATGGAGTATTATGGCAGTAATGTCTTGGTTTAATAGACACATTTCATCATTTAGGGTTCAAACTTCATAATTTAAAAAACAAAAAAATTCTTGATCTCTTGTTTTCTCATTTAATGGATGATTCTTAAGTTATTAGTATTAGAAATGATCACTATTACAAAAGGATTGATTTTAACAATTAATTGGTTCATAGTCATATTTAATTTGCAGAATAATTGTACCCACAAAATCATCGAAAGTAAAAAAACTTTTTAAAGAAATTAATCATTTGAGCAAATGCTATATGATAGCAATGTGTTGACTTTGAATTAGGAAATAAACAGATCACAAAAAGCATATGGGAACATTTGATTATAACTGAAGTCAAATTGAAAAGTTGTTTACATGAAATTTATCCCTTCAATATGCATTATTATTACCACCTCTGCTCTCATAAGAATCAATAACTTCTGAATAAATATGTCAGATTTCTATCCTATTTCCTGTTTCTTTTAGTTAAATGATATGGGACACTATGCCGAGGCCCTAATGACAAAGGGTGTCCTGGCTCTGAATAAATATGTCAGATTTCTATCCTATTTCCTGTTTCTTTTAGTTAAATGATATGGGACACTATGCCGAGGCCCTAATGACAAAGGGTGTCCTGGCTCGTCGTGGCAGTATGGAACAGTTGAAAGTAAGTATTTTTTTGGTCACATGTTTGAAGAATCGGGAAAGTTGGGGCTAATGTAGACATCTTGGCGTCTGCAGTATACAAAAATACTGTACTTTGTTAGTCACTTAAGATTGATTGAAGGTTTTTTGTTTGTCTTTACAGCTGTATAATGAGGCAATGGATCTGTGTATGCAGATGTATGGCGAGTACCACATTCTGACATCTCGGCTCTACATCAATATAGGTATTGTGTATGAAGATAACAATGACTTCAAAAAGGCATATGAGTATTTCAAAAAGTGGGCTCGTGTAAGTGAGGAAATCCTTGGTCCTGATCATCCGAAAACTCAAAGAGCAAAAGGTGTGTTACGTGAGAGTCGTTATCAGAGAATCGCACGAACTCTTGGTGAGAGTGATGATGATCATGACGAGGATCGTGATGAGGATACAAATGAAGATGAAGAAGAAATGGAAAATCCAGACCTTGAACATTATTATGATGATCAAATAAGTCAGGGGGTAGGACAGCAGATACAGCTCGATAATAGTTTACTGGAGACGCTGAATCCGTCAGAGATCAGTACAGAAGAGGCAGAGAATCAGCGAAACCTTGGACATACTCACCAAAGTAATGTCCTCCAGCCTATCAATAATGCTGATACCATTGAGCAGTTGATGAATGGTTATTATGAGGGAAATGAGGACGAGGATGAAAACGGTAGTGGTAGTAATCACGAAAACTCTGATAATGAAAATTTTTATGATGATAATTTTGAAGACTATGAAGAACATTACATCCTTCATTCAGATAGTGGCCCTGTTATAGAGGAGTTTAATGTGAATCTAGAGGAGGAAGATGACGAGGAGGATGAGGAAATTGTTCAAATCACAGCGCGGGACTCCTATAATAACGACCTTGAACAGGACAATCGATATGCGGGGGATAGTCGTGAAGGAAGCGATGATGATCCCTGAATCTGATACTCACAATCTTAATATTACACATTGAAAATGTCTTGTTTGCAAAATGGACACCAGCTAAGCAAAGATCTGCCTCCGTTAGTAATCTTCTTTGCTTTATAGGTTTTGACCAGTGTTATGTAGTATTTCAGACTCGCAATCCTTTGGATTTAAAGCCTCATCTGCTACAAAGTATCTTAACACTTCAGAACTTGGATGTTATCAGAAAAGAGATCTCAAGGAAATTTGTGCTGTTAATCATTGTGTTTTTGGAAAAGTCCTGTGCCGATGAATTCATTGTTTTTGTGGAGTTATTCTTAGTCTACACCGAAGCCTCATTGTGAATTTAATTGACAAAATCATATGCACTGAATTGTCAATATTTTCACACCAGAACTTTAAATCATTCAAAGCTGATTTCTAAACATAACCTTATACTAAAGTATAAACCTAATTACATGCAGTCATGTAGATTTCAAAAGTACCTCTGGCACATTTATTGAAATTTATAAAGGTTAACTATAGCACACTAGCGCAGATGTCAATTCACATCTAACGTGATGTTCATTCATTTCTCAGTATATATTATGTTAACAGGTAAATTTAATCATTTTTTTAATTTAAGTACTCCATATTAATTTATTTAGACACTCATAATTAGAAAGAAGTATAATAATACTTGTAATATATACTATTCCATAATAGACATCCAAGCCCATGTCTATAAGACCACAGAAAAACAGAAACGAGGAATCATTTAAAGATGGATGGCACACAGTTAATGAGAAGGGTGAAAAATTAAAATGAGATCTCTTATTTCACTTCATTTTCTGGGCTTCATTACATGGAGACTGTGCTCCATTACACAGTCTTTTTCTGAAATGCAGGTTCTTGTTTGTTTTGAAGTTTACACAGATGATGCCAAATTCACCTCAGTAGTAAAGTTTGGTCTGTTTGATGTCTCACAGATGTGTTTGAATTACACTTTTTTTAAAAAAAAGACTTACCAATTTGTTTCAATTATAGTATACTGTATATGTATTTAAATTACGGCATTCTGAGAAGGGTTAGACTCTTAAGCATAATCTGAAATTTGCAAAAGAAATATTTCAAATTAGTGGTAATATAGTTTTAAGACATGCACTGTATATGTCCATGTGTTTTTCAACTGTGACCATGTACAGGTAAGACTATCACAGTGCCATACTTTAATGAAAAATGCTATACTTTTCAGGTAAAATGACCATTCTAACTGACCAATAGTACTGTATGTATATAACACTCATCAACATGGCATTGTTGAATATGTTGTATTTCATGCCCAATGGCAGAACCTAGAAAATTTAGCACTGCTCTTGAATTAGTGCAAAGACTATTAGAATACTGCTTAAATAAGTACATGCATAGTTATTGATAGGTAAATATTTGGACCAAGGTCATTGGAACAGTGATTTCAACAGGTAATGAAATGAAATTAAAGTGTTCCGATTTTCATCTGATTGATAAACAAACTAACACCCAGAATAAACAGCTGTTTTTTAATCATAAATGTGATAAATCAAAAGAAATAATTTTATGTCCAAGATGTGGCACCATGTTAAAAGCCTAGTTGACCACTTGAACCCTTGGCTATTCACATCACTTGCGAAGTTGGTCTTTCTGTTTTGCAGCTGGTCATATGTCATGACCTCTGGCAGATCTGTGTGCTGTCTTAGCTACATGCAGCTTCCGTGTTTAACTCTGGAAATTATTTTCCTTTGTTTTAATTTGATTAATTTGTTCAGAGTTTTACAATTAGTACAACTAATTGTTCTGACAGGATGACATATACATATTGATATAAACTAGTGATATATAGTGATAGCATGTTTAATGTTATTTATTTTTACATCCATGGTATTAAGAAATACAGGAAATCATGTTTATGCTGAAGCATATGTAAAACTTCAAAGTGCTGAACTATTACCACTGTGATGAATGTCTGGTTAGAAAAGAAATTGAATTTTAAACCTCGTTTGATTTGTAGACACTGAAAATCTATACTGGCCCTGACATAAAACCGTGCGATACCTAAATACAAGGCTAATAAAACATAGTCTCATACACACGAAAACAGTTTGAATATGTTTTTAACAAATGCAAACCATAGATGAAGTACCATGTACTATTTGTTACTCAAATTCTGCCTTTGTGTAATACAGAGTTATCTGCTCTTGTGAGGAGGTATTGATTGTTATGTCATTAGTTTTTGAGAGAATAATGACATAATTTTCTCATGCACATTAATCTCCTCACAGGAGCAGATAACTCTGTATTACAAAAAAGACAAAACCATATTCTTTAAAATTACCAACCTTATCCTTTTGTATTCTTTCATAACTGTTTTGAATCACATTTAGTTATTCAAAACTTTACAAGTCTTCCTTTGTCACCGTTACCAACCCTGAAGAGTTCCCATGCTTTAATTGTTTTTAATTATGAACTGCTGTATTGAGAATACTTCTTCCCTGATGTTGGTATAATGTCGTATAATCCTGCTGATTGTGTTTTTTTCCTGGATTATAAAAAGAAATACAAGTGAAAACTGATTTTAATTCAGTTGGAAATTGATTTTACTCCAGCATTCAAAGGAAAGCTGTTTAATTTCTTTAAAAAACCCTGGCAAAGGAATTACTATTTTTTTTATATTTTCATATCAATATCATAAAACCATCATTGTTGCACCATGGTTATGTTGTACTGGTGTCGAGTGGTATGTCAAAGGATTTCTAGATGTAACTACAACAAAGTTAGGATGTATTACATGATGATGCTGGCTATCAGATATGTAGTATGATGTGTTTGTGACTTTGTTTCCATTTCCCTTTAGCAGTGCAAGAAAATATTGCAAAACCCTTTGCAATATTGAGACCTCAGTGATTGTTTTTGTTTTTGGGGGGGATTTTTTTTATGCCTGTCAGTTTGGTATAATATTTATCTAATAATAAACCCATGTCAGATAATTAGCCCACCTTTATCAATTTTTATTGTTTTTTTTTTTTTTTTTTTTTGCTGTCCTGAACAAATTAACCTGTTCCCTGGCTTTGAATCAAGAGATTTTGTGTTGGTCACCTGTATATTTTTCAAGATAAAGCAATCATATAACTTCTACATGTGATAATTAGGACAACAGGGAAATGATGGAGTCCTGCTACTACTTTTATGGACAATATACCAACAGCAACACATTTAAATTTGTACAATGAAAATGTACTGAAATCAACTTTATCAACCATATGTATTTTCAGTTGGTCTATAAAGCATGGAAAACAAGATTTTCTTTTTTTTTCTCTTTGTGAATGCTTTTATCAATAAATAGGCTTGAAGTAAAGATACATAATGTGTCTAAATGCATATAAGGACACACCCACCTCTGCTGGATTTGCCCTTCTTTACATACCAAAAAGGTACTGTATAATATCTCCAAATTTGTTTGTTAGGACACCAGGTCTTGTCCATATGTGCACACAAGGACATGTCGTCAAATACTGAAAGCATATACTCTTCATTTGCATATGAGGACACGCTCACTATTGCTGTATGATTGTCTTTCATGATGGCACACATTCATTGAAAATGATTTACAGAATGATGATATTGCTTATTAATGTCTTATCAAGACAAAACTATAGTGCTGGCAGTGTCATGAATGTAAATTGTGTCCTCATTTGCATGTTAGGATACACCCATCAGTGCTGGCTGTATGATTGGTTAATACTACTGGGGTGTTGTTGCTTTATTTGGGTTTTCTCAAAACCCAATAATGTTGTTAATAAATCATGGTGATAAAACTTGAGAATTATCTTCTTTATTATTTCAAATATGTGATGTTAGACAGCCAGTTATATGTCCTCCAAGGGGCACCAAATTTCAACTGTCTCTGTATCAAATGATATTTCAAATCATTTTTTCATTGTAGTCGGTCCATCCACCCATCTGTCCATTCCTTTTACAGTTACTTCTCAAGAAACAATCAAATGATCTGACGAAAGGGGACCAAGTTTGTTCAAATAAATTACCTTGACCTACTTCAAGGTCATAGGGGATAAATATGTTGATATCTTTAAATGACTTTTGAATAAGCAAAATTCCTAGGCACTGATATCGCGCTTGTAGCATGCTGGGATGTAAAGGGCTACCAATAAATGAACTTGACTTGCCTTCAAGGTCACAGGGGTCATAGGTCATGGTATAGTAGCATGCACCGGGAAGCTTTCAAGTTTGTAGCAAATTAATTAAGGAAACTAAAGTCTTTTTTAAAAGTCTCAATAGACCTCTTATTAACTCTAGCATAAATGAAGGTGTCAGGTATCTGATTTCAGAACAATTTGTAGACAGTCCGTAACTAACGAAGTCTTCGACTTGCAAAAACTAACTGGACGTCTCAGGCCTGCCATACCCAACCAGAAGTCTGGTGGAGCCTGTCATAAATAAGTAGAAGTATTGAACCTGTCATAACTGACTAGAAGTCTGGGGTCTGCCATAAATAACTAGAATTTTTGAACTTGTCATAATTAAGTAAAGTCTGGGGCCTGCCATTACTAACTTGAGGTCTGGGGCCTGCCATTACTAACCAGAAAGGCGCAAAGCTTTGGCGAGGGGTTTGGACCTTCCCCAAGAAATTTTTGAAAATTTTGGCTCCATTTCATGCATTTTGAGCGTATTTTGAAGGAAAATAACGGTTGCCCCCCCCTTGCCTACGCAAGTGACCTAGGTATGTCTCATAACGTACTGAAAGACTTGAGTCTGATTCGTAACGTACTGGAAGACCTAGATCTGTCTCATAACGTACTGGAAGACCTAGGTCTGTCTCATAACGTACTGAAGACTTGAGTCTGACTCGTAACTTGCTGGAAGACCTAGGTCTGTCCCATAACGTACTGAAAGACTTGAGTCTGACTCGTAACGTTCTGGAAGACCTAGATCTGTCTCATAACGTACTGGAAGACCTAGGTCTGTCTCATAACGTACTGAAAGACCTAGGTCTGTCTAATAACGTACTGGAAGACTTGAGTCTGACTCGTAACGTACTGGAAGACTTGCGTCTGACTCGTAACGTGCTGGAAGGCCTAGGTCTGACTCGTAACGTACTGGAAGACTTGCGTCTGACTCGTAACGTACTGGAAGACTTGTGTCTGACTCGTAACGAGCTGGAAGGCCTAGGTCTGACTCGTAACGTTCTGGAAGACTTCCGTCTGACTCTTAACGTTCTGGAAGACCTAGGTCTGTTTCATAACGTACGGAAAGACCTAGGTCTGTCTCATAACGTACTGGAAGACTTGCGTCTAACTCGTAACGTTCTGGAAGACCTAGATCTGTCTCATAACGTACTGGAAGACCTATATCTGTCTCATAACGTACTGGAAGACCTAGGTCTGTCTCATAACGTACTGAAGACTCGAGTCTGACTCGTAACGTGCTGGAAGGTCTAGGTCTGTCTCATAACGTACTGAAGACTTGAGTCTGACTCTTAACTTGCTGGAAGACCTAGATCTGTCTCATAACGTACTGGAAGACCTAGGTCTGTCTCATAACGTACTGAAAGACTTGCGTCTGACTCGTAACGTTCTGGAAGACCTAGATCTGTCTCATAACGTACTGGAAGACCTAGATCTGTCTCATAACGTACTGGAAGACCTAGGTCTGTCTCATAACGTACTGAAGACTTGAGTCTGACTCGTAACTTGCTGGAAGACTTAGGTCTGACTCGTAACTTGCTGGAAGACCTAGGTATGTCTCATAACGTACTGAAGGACTTGAGTCTGACTAGTAACGTACTGGAAGACCTAGATCTGTCTCATAACGTACTGAAAGACTTGAGTCTTACTCGTAACGTACTGAAAGACTTGAGTCTGACTCGTAACGTACTGGAAGACCTAGATCTGTCTCATAACGTACTGAAAAACCTAGGTCTGTCTCATAACGAACTGAAGACTTGAGTCTGACTCGTAACTTGCTGGAAGACCTAGGTATGTCTCATAACGTACTGGAAGACCTAGGTCTGTCTCATAACGTACTGAAAGACCTAGGTCTGTCTAATAACGTACTGGAAGACTTGAGTCTGACTCGTAACGTACTGGAAGACTTGCGTCTGACTCGTAACGTGCTGGAAGGCCTAGGTCTGACTCGTAACGTACTGGAAGACTTGTGTCTGACTCGTAACGAGCTGGAAGGCCTAGGTCTGACTCGTAACGTTCTGGAAGACTTCCGTCTGACTCTTAACGTTCTGGAAGACCTAGGTCTGTTTCATAATGTACGGAAAGACCTAGGTCTGTCTCATAACGTACTGGAAGACTTGCGTCTAACTCGTAACGTTCTGGAAGACCTAGATCTGTCTCATAACGTACTGGAAGACCTATATCTGTCTCATAACGTACTGGAAGACCTAGGTCTGTCTCATAACGTACTGAAGACTCGAGTCTGACTCGTAACGTGCTGGAAGGTCTAGGTCTGTCTCATAACGTACTGAAGACTTGAGTCTGACTCTTAACTTGCTGGAAGACCTAGATCTGTCTCATAACGTACTGGAAGACCTAGGTCTGTCTCATAACGTACTGAAAGACTTGCGTCTGACTCGTAACGTTCTGGAAGACCTAGATCTGTCTCATAACGTACTGGAAGACCTAGATCTGTCTCATAACGTACTGGAAGAACTAGGTCTGTCTCATAACGTACTGAAGACTTGAGTCTGACTCGTAACTTGCTGGAAGACTTAGGTCTGACTCGCAACTTGCTGGAAGACCTAGGTATGTCTCATAACGTACTGAAGGACTTGAGTCTGACTCGTAACGTACTGGAAGACCTAGATCTGTCTCATAACGTACTGGAAGACCTAGGTCTGTCTCATAACGTACTGAAGACTTGAGTCTGACTCGTAACTTGCTGGAAGACTTAGGTCTGACTCGTAACTTGCTGGAAGACCTAGGTATGTCTCATAACGTACTGGAAGACCTATATCTGTCTCATAACGTACTGGAAGACCTAGGTCTGTCTCATAACGTACTGAAGACTCGAGTCTGACTCGTAACGTGCTGGAAGGTCTAGGTCTGTCTCATAACGTACTAAAAGACTTGAGTCTTACTCGTAACGTACTGAAAGACTTGAGTCTGACTCATAACGTACTGGAAGACCTAGATCTGTCTCATAACGTACTGAAAAACCTAGGTCTGTCTCATAACGAACTGAAGACGTGAGTCTGACTCGTAACTTGCTGGAAGACCTAGGTATGTCTCATAACGTACTGAAAGACTTGAGTCTGACTCGTAACGTACTGGAAGACCTAGATCTGTTTCATAACGTACTGAAAGACTTGAGTCTGACTCATAACGTACTGGAAGACCTAGATCTGTCTCATAGCGTACTGGAAGACTTGAGTCTGACTCGTAACGTGCTGGAAGGCCTAGGTATATCTCATAGCGTACTGAAAGACTTGAGTCTGACTCGTAACGTACTGGAAGACCGAGATCTGTCTCATAACGTACTGGAAGACCTAGGTATGTCTCATAACGTACTGAAAGACTTGAGTCTGACTCGTAACGTCATGGAAGACCTAGGTCTGTCTCATAACGTACTGGAAGACTTGGGTCTGTCCCATAACGTACTGGAAGACTTGAGTATGACTCGCAACGTACTGGAAGACCTAGATCTGTTTCATAACGTACTGAAAGACTTGAGTCTGACTCATAACGTACTGGAAGACCTAGATCTGTTTCATAACGTACTGAAAGACTTGAGTCTGACTCGTAACGTACTGAAAGACTTGAGTCTGACTCGTAACGTACTGAAAGACTTGAGTCTGGCTCGTAACGTACTGAAAGACTTGAGTCTGACTCGTAACGTACTGGAAGACCTAGATCTGTCTCATAACGTACTGGAAGACCTAGGTCTGTCTCATAACGTACTGAAGACTTGAGTCTGACTCGTAACTTGCTGGAAGACCTAGGTCTGTCCCATAACGTACTGAAAGACTTGAGTCTGACTCGTAACGTTCTGGAAGACCTAGATCTGTCTCATAACGTACTGGAAGACCTAGGTCTGTCTCATAACGTACTGAAAGACCTAGGTCTGTCTAATAACGTACTGGAAGACTTGAGTCTGACTCGTAACGTACTGGAAGACTTGCGTCTGACTCGTAACGTGCTGGAAGGCCTAGGTCTGACTCGTAACGTACTGGAAGACTTGCGTCTGACTCGTAACGTACTGGAAGACTTGTGTCTGACTCGTAACGAGCTGGAAGGCCTAGGTCTGACTCGTAACGTTCTGGAAGACTTCCGTCTGACTCTTAACGTTCTGGAAGACCTAGGTCTGTTTCATAACGTACGGAAAGACCTAGGTCTGTCTCATAACGTACTGGAAGACTTGCGTCTAACTCGTAACGTTCTGGAAGACCTAGATCTGTCTCATAACGTACTGGAAGACCTATATCTGTCTCATAACGTACTGGAAGACCTAGGTCTGTCTCATAACGTACTGAAGACTCGAGTCTGACTCGTAACGTGCTGGAAGGTCTAGGTCTGTCTCATAACGTACTGAAGACTTGAGTCTGACTCGTAACGTGCTGGAAGGTCTAGGTCTGTCTCATAACGTACTGAAGACTTGAATCTGACTCTTAACTTGCTGGAAGACCTAGATCTGTCTCATAACGTACTGGAAGACCTAGGTCTGTCTCATAACGTACTGAAAGACTTGCGTCTGACTCGTAACGTTCTGGAAGACCTAGCTGGAAGACCTCTGTCTGAAGGACTTCTCATATAACGTACTGGAAGACCTAGATCTGTCTCATAACGTACTGGAAGACCT